TTCTCCATTCTCATTCATTTCACCTAGCGCCTCTCGACCCATGGTTAGTTCTCTTCCTGTGTTGTACCTTCTCAATTTGGCATTCATGTCACCCATTAGAATTTTGATATCGCCATTTGAGGTCTTGTCCAGTGTTGATTGAAGTTGTCTGTAGAATTCCTCCTTTTTCTCTTGCTCTGCATTATTTGTAGGTGCATAGCATTGTATGATTGTGACCTTCCTTCCTTTTAAGTTGAATCTTGCTGTCATGATCCTGGAGGAGATTGGTTCCCGCTGCATGAGAGCCTTCGATGCTCTTGAGGACATCATGATAGCCACTCCCTCAGTGTGCTCTTGGTTGTCGTCTGGGTGACAATATCGGAGTAGATTATTGATTCTCCAGTTGACAGTTTGGAGAGTCCACTTCCATTCCATCTGCTTTCTCAAATCCCAAGCACTTCGATGTGATACCTTCTCATCTCCTTTGCAATCTGGGCTGCCTTACTGGGTTCAAACATCGTACGGACATTCCATGTCCCCATTCTTACTTTCGCTTTCATCGAGAGAAGACACATCGGCCAATTGGCTTCCCGAAGGCTTTCACCAACTGGCATCATTTCGCCTCTCCGATTCCAGCGGGGAATAAGTTTGTTATTATTTTTTATATTTTGTTTGTGCCTTGAAGTTTCTTTAGCGGTTAGATTTGTTTTGCGGGGTAGGGTTGCTAGCCCTATGCCCAACCTTCCCTATTTACCCGGTCTTAGGACCGGCTAGTAACTAGTGAACTAGTTAACCAGGCGAGGTTAGAAATTAGCATGCTTAAACCTAACTGACAAACCCCATCACCAATGTGTTGTATAACCGAAAAAATGTCTTATTTGTACTCATTTAATAACGAAAGTTCGATAACGTACTTGGTTGACTGCAGAGAAGAAAGTGCAACGGAGGTGTGCTACTGAAGCCATGTGTTCCACTAGGAAGCTAAGAGAAAATAATATTTATGGTTTTTAATTGGCCGCAGTTCTTCAGTCCTCGACTGCAACTTTATTTCAATAATATTGATCCCCCAAATGGCCCCCAAACTCTATATTAAGGGTTTCAATGTCCGCACCTTCTCTGGCACAATCAGTGATACCCCTAACACCGTGTAATCTTCACCAAGCAACTCCGGCATATGTGGCCATGAGTGTGTGCTGTTTGTGAGACACGCATATAAGACCCAATCTCAGTGCTAAGGCAATAAGCTCACTGCTTGTCTTGATTCAAGTTGGTCGTTATAAATGCACTATTCGATTGAACCTCACTGTGGTGTCAAGAGTAGAGAAACTTGCCTTTATCCCTTTGTTATCTTTAATTATGCACCCACTGACTGCTGTTCAGATGAAGTGAAGGATGAGTTCTGCCGAAAACTGTTTATTCTCCTACTGAAAACCAAACATGCAGACGTGGTCGTTGTCGTAGGTGATTTCAATGCACAAGTGAGTGTTCTAATTCAGATAAGAAGGTACTCCAGTGATACTTTTGGCATCCTACCGAAACGAAAAGATAACGTTGACTGTCTTCTAAAACTGTGCTTAAGGAACCATTCATTTCTGACCGGCACCAACTTCAGATATTGTCTGATGTGGAGTCGACCGACTTCATATCAACAATGGATACAACATGATGCTATCAGCTATCGCTGGAGGGTTGGTGGAAGATTGCCACTGCTTCTGGAGCACCTGTTTGGAATGCGAGGACCCGTATATCTGCACCTAAATGGACGTAGAAAGACTGCTTTAACACAATACTAGTGAGTGCGGCTCGATAATGAGAGCGCCAAGGCTGGTTTCAGTGAAGAACTAGCTGGACAGTTACACAACAGAACAACAACACTGATCAGGTAAAAGCCTAGCGCCATCTCCAATTTGCTGTAAAAATAATGATAAAGACCTTAGCCGACTCTCAGACATCGGTCAAAAGGGCCCGATTGATCTCATTAGCACGCACACACACCCTGTAGGCTGCAAGTCCAATGATGAGTGGAAGCAACTCAAATATAGGCTGGAAAAAGCTCTACTCAGTGACAGGGAACATTGGTGGACCCCGAAGGCTAAAGAGATTAAAGGCAGTCGTGATATGTAACGGTAGACATTTACTTAGACTTATTAAGGAAACTGGGGCAAAAAGGTCAGTGGTTAGTGAGACTACACGTAGAAGGGTTGGTCTATAATTCACTTGTAATGAAGACAATTGAAACAATGGGCGGGGAAACACTTAAGGTAACAGCTCAGCTAACCTCTAGCTACTATCCCGTTGCTCGCTATGGAGTTGAATGCTGAAAAGAACATTGAGATAAGGTTTCCAACGGTTGCATTAGTCAAGAAAGCGACCTTAAAAGAGAAAAGGCAGATTTTTTAGTTTTGAAGGTATTTAAGGATAGTGGTCGTGGGCTGTTCGTTAGGTGGCTAGCTCATGGGAGTCATTTATGACGTGGCTTATAATTTTACGTGGTTGCCAAGGTCAAAGCAGGTTTGTATCCGAGCATGAAACTATGGCCCATCAGTTGAAATTCAAGTATCCAGATGCAACATCAAAGTTCTGCTAACACAATCCCTATCAGTGTCATGCGTTGTACTTGTAAGCACATCAGCCACCGACTCAAGATACTGTGAATTTAATCCTACAAATGGCACAAGTAAAGATTCACAGCATAAACCATACTCAAGACGAGTGAATTTCAGTAAATATCCCTTGTCGACATTAGTTTATGCATTCAAATTTCAGCCTTTAGGTCAACGTTCCGAACGTCTTCCTTAAGCGAAATTCTTTGGCAACCAGCTACTATTCCTTTATGTGAACAGTAAATAGACCCTACAACTCTTGTAGGAGTTGTAAAGCCTAAAAGTAGCCTGAGTCCAGGAAGGGTAGATGGGATAGTACTGGAAATATTTAAGCACGCTGGTCGTGGACTATTGATGAGGTTAACTGGTGTATTAGCTAGCTTATGGGCAACAGATATAAACCCCTGGAACTGATCTAAATCGCTGATTGTTACAGTCTTCAAGAATGGGGATAAGTCCTCTTGTGATAATCACAAGGGAATCAGTCTGACAAATGTAATCTGTAATAATACAACTTTTAAGTAGAGCTCTTGAACAGCAAATCCGAGAGAAGCAAACAAGCCTCATACCTTGTTGTGATTTTATCGACCCTTTTCCAGATTCTATAACACATACAGTTATTGATACCTGAAACTAACTGTATTTCTCGATCTGAAGGTGGCATTCGACTCCATCGAACCAGTCTCGCTTACCGAAAGACGTGTCAAGCAGAAACAGACAAAATCAGCACAAAACCTTTCACATAAGTGCATTGGTTCAGTTAGCCACACTTCACGGTATTAAAGGTATGTGGGGTAAATGCAACACTTCTAAAGATTCTATATTTAAATACTCGTCGACGTCTTGGAGCCTCCGGTGAGATATCAAGTAAGATGTATCCATCAAACACGTCTACTCCCGTACTTAATTTTATGATTTATGAGCCAATGGCGATCTTCCTCTCCTGACTTGACATGGATTGATCTTGTCACAGAATACCCCTTAGTAGATGTAGAGTACGCAGGTGACATAGTTCTGTTAGGTTAAGGTGCCGGCAAGGTGAACAGTCTTTTAGACACATTGATTGGCAGCCTAAGAATTTTTAGGATACATTTCTCGCCACCCAAATTCAAATGATTGCTCAAGAACCAGTTTCCGCTGCTGCCTTGTTTAACAACAGAGTGAAATGGTTGAGTGCACTAACCACATCGCTTTTCTCGTAAATCAGATCAGCTCTTATCGTTCAGTGACCAACGAACGTTGTACTGGGATACTAAAGGGTTAGTTGGTTTTTGCCAACTTATCCTATTTATGGCGTTGTTATGATATCCAATTGTCTATTAAAGTTGGAGTGTACTACTCCGCAGTTTGCTCTGTTTTGATTTAAAACTGTGAAGCATGGCCATTAAAAGCAGAGGACATGAGAAGGCTTCAAGTGTTCAAGTACCATCGCCCTCATACCCTACGTGGTGTGTTATGGTGCCACCATATCAGTAACTTAGAAGTCAGATGTAAAGTTTTAGGAAGGAAAGGATAGTTAGTTGATGAGGTTATAAACCTCCATCAACTCAGATGACTGGGACGTGTTACGCATGATTAGTCGCTGTCTACCCCGTCTCTCTATGTTAGCTGAAGTCGGTTGGGGCTGGGGAAACGTTGAAGGTAGGCAGACTAAATCGTGGCATGCTTGCATTAAGTCCTCGACCGTCGGTCTGAACTGTGTATCGAAATGGTAGACCTCCCAGGCGGAGCCCAAGTGACAAAAGAAATCAGTGGTTGGAGACTGTAGGTGATATGGCTCAGAATCTATTTCAGTAGCCGTGATGTATCCACATATTATCTTCATCTTAATTGTCTTACTGAATTTCAATAACGTCTCAGTCTTCTTTGTTCTCTTTTAATGACTGTACCGTTTTATTTCTCCTTTCATCTTACTGCATTCTCGCTTGATGTGACGTGTTGCAACTTGAACCGCTACGTGGTATTGCCAGGTCCTATGTTGATATTGTCCTTCTTTCTAGTTCGGAAGGAAGCTAAGAGTGACTCGGCCGAAATGTCGAGGTGTAGCGCGGTAGATTAATCTGACCATTAGACTTTCAAACAGTTATACGGAGGTTCAAACTCCACTTCCGCTTCTTTTTGTAAAATATCATGCAGACAGATCCTTTCTGTATGAGTAGAGATTTTTAGCAATGTAATCTTCGTTTCGAACCTAGCATACATTACTTTTTCAAATCAGAATTGCTTCTATGCTGGTCAGAAGTTTTCACGCTGCTCTTAGGCTTTATGTATGAGTCGAATAATGTTTCGTAAGTTATGTTTAGTTGCCACTTCGTGGGATCCCGTTAAGCTGTTTCAGGTTTTAGATTTCTCTGGTGAATTGTGTATTGTCCGGTTTCTTTGTATATATTCATATCTGTATTCATGTTCCTTTTACAGACTGAAACAGTGCAAAAACTGGAGTTAAGGCATCGTAATCAAGATAAGAAATTACTGCGCGATGTGGAAGCTGAACAAGAACATTTAATTACAGAAAATACAAAACTTAGTAAACTTGTTCAACTTTTAAAAGATCTTCAGGTTCGTTCAGTTGATCTTTTTTTGCATGACTATGTGTATGCTTAATGAATGAAAAAGTCTATAAAACGCACATCTAAAAACTAAACTGAGAAGTATTACAGTTAAATTTTTCTCATTTGTTTCTCAAAATGTATCAATCGGACAACAGGTGTCACTGGTAAAATTCCAGAGTCTTGAGAAATGGTCGTATTCTGCGCTTATAAAACACATTTGCAGGATGCGAATGTGGTTACCTGCCTGTCCTCACCTGACCAATATGGTGAGTCTTCAAAATCAACTTGATGAGTGTCCGGAGCTTCGAGGGGTAGTTCTCGCGGACTCGATGGTGTAAGTATATCACTAAGCTTCCGAGCACAAAGCACACTCGAGTGGCTATTAGTCAACAACTGTCTGTATGCCATCCGACTGAATGTATCTTTAAGAACTGAAAATCACTGTGACACTTGTGGATGCGCATTTGTAGTCTCCTCCTACGTGCCCACCGACCACAGTTCGGACTTTACAGAAGATTAGTACCATTAGAAGCTGACAATTTTGCTACAATGTTCGTCGTTCACACGCAGTCATACTAGAGGGAGACATTAACACTCAAGTAGGGAGGTATCTACGGTATTCCATGGCAATGAACGGACAGCTATGGTCATCTGTTAAAATTTTATTCTGATCAATATAAGGACAGACACTATTTAACTTGGCATCCAACAAGGACACTGATAGATGCATGCTTCAATAAACAATCGTTGGAGGATAGCCATCGTTTCTGTACTACCCATTTAGAGTCTGGTCATGCGTTTGTAAAGGCACTCATATGTTTGAACCTTACTGGTAATCGGAAATGGACAGTGGTGAAATTTGTGTGCTCGACTGGAAGATGAGGACGTCGTGTGTACACTTAGGTAGAAGATGGTGAAGCAATTATCTCGACGTTACAGTAATCCTCCTCTTGATGATGCCTAGTTTTCTGTAGAAACATCCGTAAAGACAGTTGGTAACCCACATCCAAAGGCTAGTAGAAGTCTACAACCTTATCCAAACTGATTGATGTGATATGTTTCTCACCTATCGAATGTAAGGTGGTTCTTCAGGTCTGGTCTGTAGCTACTCTCCATTTAGCGATATGAAATGAAGTAGTGGAATGTGGTGACTATTTCACTTACTTGAGGATTCGCATCAGCCTGAAATGAACTGGTTAATTATATAATCTCCACTTGATTACAAAAAGTCGAAATTTGTGTATTTTTCAAAAATTCCGGTTTCTGAGAGTCCAAACCAGGTAAATACGTAATGTAGCAATAAGATTTTCACATGGTATTAATGGTAGGCAACTGAGCAACGGGAACTTACAAAACTTCAAGCATAATCTTAATCTCCTTGTGGAATGGTAGAAAGTGATTGCAATTTTGTAGAGGTCACTCACAAAATGTTTTCTAGTGTAGTATAACATTTGTCTATAAGAATCTCAGCTTGATAGCAATGTCTATCTTACAAAAATCATGTTGAGGACGAAAATATGTATTTCAAGGTAAAATAAGACGTAGGATTGGTTCTAACTTTTTCAGAAAGCGGATGTATATCAACCAGCCAAATTCTTTCATTACTCCATAATTGAATGTCTATTAAGTTACATTTAGATATTTTCTGTGCAATATTGTTTTATGAGTCCTCTGAACTCAACGCACATGCATCCACTGCCAAAATAATCTTTTGATGGTCGCCAAAATATTTTTGCTATGAAAATGGAAGCTATTAATTTGTCTTTTTGTTTTACTTTTGCTATTTGCCATTCCTAATTCAATCGATAGTATTCGTATCTTCAGTTATACTACTGTATTCCGTTGATGTAAGCATTCTGCTTTCGTAGCATACTAAAGACAATTGGCGTATTAATTTATCCATCACATCCACTCATGTATTTCGTTTTTATCTGTTATGATATTTTGGTTCTGAGAAGAACTTAAGCACAGTGATCTGTCTTCATAGCATTCGGACACTATAATTTTGCGGTGTCGGTTTAATTTATCTTGTTGTTGTTATTCCTATTACTCATTACTTCTCAACGATTTTTTATCAATCCAGTTAGATCATGAACTTGGAGTCTTGAAAGTAGCAGAAGTACGTGGTAACTCTCAAGCTGCTATTACTTCTCTCCTTGAGTAAGATGTTTTCTGTGTTTTGCTTTTTTTGAACTTGTTATGCATATAAATCTTTCAATATAATTGGTTAACTAGTTTGCAGAATCTGAAAAAAACATTTGGTAAGTCGGATGAAAGGTGTTTTTAAGCTTGCGAACAGTCGACAAGGACCAGTAGAAATAGGTTTAGTGATTCTAAACACTTATCACCAGAAAGGAACTCTGCTGTCAAAGAATCTCATATCGTATTCCAATTTCGAACACACATTGATTAAACTCAAACACAGCAGTGAGGAATATGAATACCCATTTCAGCAACCACTTATGATCATGAGGTTCAGGTAGTTTTCAGCTTTTAATTGTACCCTAAACAGTGAGCTACGAGCAGAGTAATGAGTTTCATTTCTCAGATATTGGCATTCAACATTATGCAAGTGGAAAGATTCATCCAGAAGTGACTTGAAGTGGAATCTATTTGAAATTCAATAGCTTCAATCCCATGAGTTACATAAATGGGTTCGTTAAAATGGTATTCAATTGTACGACAAAACTGCTGAGGAGAAAAACGTGAAGAATGTTCACGTGGTAATGACTATCTGCAGAAGTTCAGTGAAACATATGGGAAGTCTAATGCAAAAAGAATAGAGTGCAGCACAGTAAAGAGAAAGCCTGTCTTATCGCAGTTTTCTTCACGGAGGACTGCTTAGATCTAATGACGACTGAATGCAACGTAGAATAGCATGTATCCATGCGCCAAACCGATCTCAGTTGGAAGTGGACAGATTCTGACATCATGTGACCTCCAACTGCTCTTATCAATTTACATGTACATGCCAAGGCAAATACATTGAAAGAACAGAGGAGAGGATTTCGTTTGCATTTCTGAGCATGTCCCTAAGAATTTCAGATCGAAATGTTGACATGCACTGGACAACCCAGTTATGCATCACCCGCGGGATACTGGACCTAAAAGTTGGATTACTTGTCTAAATAAATTTCAGATCGAAGATAAACGCATTCAGGCGGAATGCCTAGTTGTTAAACTGCGCAAAGAGATTTCTGAATTAAAACTTAGTATTTTCCAAATGAAGGCAGAAAATAAGCGTAAATTCGTAAGTTATATACATAATTTGTTAGTGTTATTCTTTAAGTATTCGCTATTGATAAGCAAACGTTTATCATCAGGACTATTGCTTGTATGTTGTCCTAAAGGTTTTTTGAATGGCAATTATCATTACGACACGAACAGTTAACCAAAGCTGCATTAGTTTGCAAGGATCCCGACTAATGGCTGCTATCTTATTATCTCAGTTGGGCTTGCATCGTACGATGACCCAGCAGGCTATTTTAGTGAGGCACGTTTTCGTTTGGATAGTGGTAAGACAAAACCAGTTACCGCTGTGGTGTAACATACTACGCTATAATGAGGGCCAGGGGCGAGATTCATACTACTGAATGGACAGGGGTGTGGCGGTAGTAAGCCGTTTCTTACGAATGACCAGCAGTGCCATGCTCATTTTGCCTTCCATATGGGAAGCGATGGCGGTTAGAAAAGATTTGTTTCAAAAAGCCCACTCTCTTGTATTCTGCCTTCTTCCAGAATCGCTTGTTTGGACATATTTCCGGATTTAAAGAGAATTAATATCAGCTTACATTCAAACTGTCTGTGACCTGCCTCTAGCAGAAGTTATTTGCTTTCTGTGACCACGCACCACCATAACTAAGCCTTTTTACGTACTTCAAGTCGGGAAGTGGAAATCGCTCTCACAACTCCCTCAGCATTCAAATTCATGCACATCATTATCAACTATTCAGAACCTGACCTTCTAATCTTTTTGCACATCTCTAGGTCAATACTCCTGCATCATCTTCAATTCGTAACCTCGCCTAGGAAACTAGTTCACTAGTTACTAGCCGATCGTAAGCCCGAATAAACAGGGGAGGTTGGGTATAGAGAAAGCAACCCTACCCCATAAAGCCAATCCAATCGCTAAAGAAACTTCAAAGCAAAAAGAAATTATAAAAAATAAAAAGGAACTTATTCCTCGCTGTGATAATTATTTTCTATTCCTAGTTGACTGGTATTTCCATTTACCTCTCAACCTTCTCTTCTAAGAATATTCACCTAATAATTCTGTGAATAGTCAATTTCTCATACTCCCAAAGATTCATACTTTAGCCAGTTAGTTATATTCCTCATGACCTACGTTGCCGGGTGATTCTGTCAGCGACTTCATGTCAAACTTGATAAAATCATGCATACATTTTGATATTTAGGTTGTAATCACTTGAGAAGAATCCTCGAAATGTTAAGGATAAGTTAGTATTATCCTGCTTCGCTTGTTGTTGTGCTGTTCACGTTTACGCCAAGTGACTTCAAGTTCCTGAGGAGAATAAGTTTTCTTGATATTACATCTGAACCCTATTGAAAAGTAATGACATGGAGGCGACCAACGCCCTTAAGGCTTACTACTGGTTGTCTTCAACCATACATTCAAGGCATTTCGTTGTGTTTTCGTCCTACTTAATTTGTTGTTCTTGTTGCTGTTTTCGGTTTACTTGATTTGATTGTCATAAAGATCTTCCTTACTATCTTGGCAACTATATATCTACCATATTGTAATTGTCAGAGTACCCCACCTGCTAGAACTTATTGATTTTTACGGAACGACTCTGAGGTGCTTGATTTAAACATGAAAGATTTTATCGGATACTGTTTTCGCTTAAACCATCTTTTTGAATGCCTAATAAGCGTTTTCAATGTAGAGACTTCTGAATCAAAGAATAGAACAGAAAAGTGATATGGATTAGATTTCACCAGACGGACACACTAAAAATCAGATCGACTTCATCTTGATGTGAAGAAAGTGGAAACGCAGCCTACTGTACACAAGACCAAGAAGGGGAGCAGATGTAGGTGGTTCACACCACTCACTATCTAGTCCAAGGAACCTACTTTGAAAATCAAGTTGAAAGCCTAGAAAGAAGCTGGTGATGATAGACCACAGTCCAAGCTCAGCACGCAGAACAGAAACTACAAGGGACATCTTCATGTCAGTGATCAGGAAAAAATGGGAGACATTAGGCAACATCCCCGAGGAAACCTGTGTGGAAGAACACTGGAACTCTGTGAAAGCGAAGTGGAAGGAGACCTGCACAAGCGTGTTAGGAAGGAAGAGGAAACAGGATAAGGCAAGGAATGGATCTCCACGGATACATGGAAGCTAATAGAGGAGGGAGAGGAAGATGGTGAAGCAGAAGATGAACCAGTGCAGTGCAAGGATGCACAACGAAAAGAAGAACTGAGTACAACGTATAAAACACAACACTGGACAAAGAAGTGAAGAGTGCGCGGAAAGGCAAAAGACACTTCTACGACACACTTGCAGGTGAAGCAGACCAGGCTGCAGGTAGAAGAGATAGATACCCGATAACACTACATCAAATAACCAGGTTTCTATCTGGGAAGAGGTCAACTCAGATGAAACCAATGAGAGACAGTAAAGGAAACCTAGTTAGCAAAGTGGAGAAACAAAGGAAACGATGGGCTGACCACTTCAAAAAGCTGTTGAATCGACCAACACCAACTGCAACTCGTCCAGAAATACCACCAGTAGCCCAGCCACAGAACTACCAGTGAACACAAGCCCTCCAACAAAAGCAGAAGTGTAGTCCTGAACACCATAGAGTTGCTGAAAGCTGAGCAAGCAGCAGGACCAGATGGAATTCCACTAGAAGCACTGAAAACAGACGCAGAGCCAACGGCGGACACGCTGACACCACTATTGCAGAAGGTTTGGAAGTAAAGCAGGAAAGGTACCTGCCAGTTGATTGGAAGAATGGCTACCTTGTCAAACTTCCATAGGAGGGAGACCTAAGTGTTTGCAAGAACTGGTGTGGAATCATGCTCCATTCCTGTCCACTCCAAGGAGAATATTATGCGGCATCATCCTAGAGAGACTAAAAGATGCACTGGATTCAAAATTACGACCGGAACAGGCCGGCCGGCCGGCCGGCTGGCTGGCTTCAGGAAGAACAAATCATGTGCGCATCAAATTGCAGTGCTACGCTACGCATCATCATAGAACAGAGCATAGAATGGCAGTCACCTCTTCACCTTACCTAAACTTCATCAATTTTGAAATGACCTTCGACAGCGTAAAGCGGGAAGTGATTTGGAAACTGCTTCAACACTACGGTTTTAGTGCCACAAACCTTTATCAACCTCATTCAACAGCTATATGCTATATGAAGACGCCACATGCCGAGTGATTCACAATGGAAAGCTCAGTGACGCCTTTGAAGTGAAGACAAGGGACAGGAGTAAGACAAGGTTGTCGCCTACTATCCCCGATGATTTTCCTGATAGTGGTTGACTGGGTCATGCAACAAACTGTGAGGATTGAGAAGATGGGCATAGGCTGGCTGAACCGATGAAAAGATCCGAGAAGGAGATTCGGATTTCGCCGATGATGATTTATGTCTAATGTCTTATCGCACCAACTCAACTATCTACAAGCAAAAACCAACTAGTTGGCAGAAGAGGCAGGGCAGCGAAGATGGGACTTCAGGTGGATGCGTAGAAAACAGAGGTGATGAAGATACCCAACCAACCAACAACAACAAGCGCCGGTCACCATCAATGGGAGAAACCTAAAGGAAGTTGCCTCTTTCACCTACCTGCTTACCCAGGCAGCATCGTCTCAAATACAGGCGGCACAGATGAGGACGTCAAAGCCAGGATCGGAAATACAGCAAGATAGGCCTTCATTAACCTGAAACCAGTGTGGAGATCGACTGCACTCCACTCAGCATAAAGAACAAGATCCGGATTTTCAACACTAATTCAGTCAAGTAAGTCAGTGTTTCTGTGATGGTTGATAGACTTTGCGTGTTGCGAAAAGCATTTCCAACAAGCAACAGACATCCATCAACAGCTGCCACCTACGCTCACTTGATACTGGAGATTAGATGGATGGCCAGGAAGAATAAGCAGGAAGGAAGTCTCATCGCACAACAAACCAACCAAGAACCTACCGCACAACAAGTATGCAGAAGAAAGTGGAGATGGATTGGGAGTACACTGAGAAGGCCGATTGGGGACATCACGCGCCAGGTCCTTGAGTGGAATCCAAAGGGGAAACGACGAGTTGGGCGTCCGTGGTGAGGGTGACATGGGGGAGATCATGTGAGGAGGAAATGAAAGCTTGTGAGGAGACGTGGAGTGAGGTGAGTGAGAAGGGAGTGGAACGGAGGCGTGCTATTGAAGTCCCATGTTCCACTAAGAACCCAAGGGGAAAATAATATAAACAGTAATGCTAGCGTGTTTTGCGATACAAAGCTATTACCAAATTTGACTGATGCACTTTGTTCCATGGCTTTCGTGGTTGAACCAAAAGCTGTTAAAGATCTCTTTTCAGTAATTCTTATGGATGTTTTCTAAAATAGACCTTATATGTTGTCCCTAAAATATCACAGCCGTAGTGCTGCCATTTTATTTGTGTACTTACTTCATTGGTTTGTGTTAAATATGAAGGAAGATAATTTAGTAAAACATTAAAATCCATCCTTCTAAGCCACAAACATTCTTCACCATGGATTTTATTCCTAACTGGATAACAGGAAAATACACTAAATCGTTATCTGAATTTAGATTTATGAACTCATATCCTATCCACTTATGGCATTAGCCAGAACTTGCAGATTTAGATTCTAGCAGGGGCAAGCAGCATTTTAGCTATAGTGACTCCATGGAGGTTGTTTTAAAGAGAATGTACTAAACTGTTTGTTATTAAAAGTTCAATTTTTGTCATTGTAGTGTATGTAAGGACATATACTGGGATTGTATTGACTCGTTTAACTATCAGATACGTACTCGTGATTGAAGTCTACATTTACAGTTCAAGATCTCCATCTGAATTTCACAAACTACCTTTTGAAATCACCATATTATTGAATTGAGATGAAGGTTGATCGGTCAGACATTTTCTACTACTGACTAACTCTGAAATTCGTATCTGTTCTGGATGCTGATAACAGACGCAAGCTTCAGTTAGCTTTACAGGCTTAGCTTTAATATATCTACGAGTTTTAGCTGCGATTAAGTAGCGTATCTTTGTCATTTGTTGAAATTAGCATGCTTAAACCTAACTGACAAACCCCATCGCCAATGTGTTGTATAACCGAAAAAATGTCTTATTTGTACTCATTTAATAACGAATGTTCTATAAGGTACTGGATTGATGATAATGTGAGAAATTATTGGTTTTCGCTGACGTATAAATTAGTCGTGGATTGTGCGGTAAACAGATCAACGTGAAACTCTGTACAAAACTGTATCATTGAGGGTTGCCGCAAATTGCAGGAGATAGTAACGAAGGAGCGAAAAGAAAAAGGATTACCTTAAAGTAGAATCAAGTGTATGACGTGAAACGTCTATGAATGTACGAATTTTTACGAAAACATTCATGAGGTCGTAAATGACAGATGTGTAGATCTGTGCGACCGTGACCAGTTTCGAGGCGTATTACAAATAATCTCCAAATATAAATTTCTACTGACGGAACCCACTTGTCAGGAAGCATTTTCGTTTCTTTATGAATTCAGGACCCGAATACTGATATCATTTTGCTGGTTTTTACCTTTATTTATTGTATACTATTTTGTAACGTAGGTTTATTCCCTTAACATAATTTTTCATTAATCTTTCGGCCTGTTTTTAGAGAACGTGTCAAAGATTTAAAGCGTGCTTATGAAGAATCTCATGAAACCATTACTAGACTCCGCCGGCGTTTGTTTGTTTCAGGCCAAATTAGGCAAACGCTACAAGATGAATTGTGTTATCGTGTTGATCAAATTGCTTCTTTGTCTTCAAAGTTGAATGCACTTAAAAAAATTGCTAATTCGGCAAGAAAGTGTGATTGTCAAAATCAGTCTCACCATCTGGAAACTGAAGAGAAGCAATCTAGTTCATCACTTGCAGGTTCGTATTATCATTGCAACATTCCAAGAATTCTCTTATTGTGAGAGTAAATCTTGTTCACTATGGTAGAGTATGATTTCCCATTAGATTGTTTATTTGATGTAGCGCATAATGATATTGGATACATTTTTAAGCAGGATTCATTGCTTATCATCATATTATTGAACCAGATCAGTCAGGAAGATTACCCCAATGAATATTCTCATAATGATCTGATCAGTTAAAAAGAAATCCTCCACAAATATTCATGGAAATATGATCCACTTGGTGATTTCTCCCGAAGCATATCTGAAACAGATATCTGGACTGACATCGACCTGTCTGTCCTGGAAATTCCAGGGTTTAGAAGCGTAAAAGCCACCAGATTTCCTAGGTATGTCGATTTATTTTCTTAGTGTGGGAAATCTTCATGCGACAATACTTACCTGTTTTTCTTCTCAGCGATCTTATCTGTATCATAGGTTAATATAAACGCAGTTCTACACTGCTGACAGTATATACAGTATACAAATCTTGAGCAAGCCTATGATTGTCACAGTATCAGAAGTTCATTTTTATAGTAGGTTGATTGAACTATCATATATAGGTGCTCAAACAGAAGCGCATAAAAGCGCAGTTGAATTCATGACACTATGATGGATGATTTTAAGACCACTTCGTAATCACAGCCATGATAACACCTCCCCTTCGTGAAATATTGTTTTTTACAGAAAGAAATTAGGATAAGCAAAGTAATGTAAGCACAATAGCATCTTCATCTAACTGCTTATTAACATAAATATTTGGTTTAACTATTTTTCAGACAAAATCACTAAACTTGACTTGGACCGAAGTCCTAATGAACTAGTTGCTGACGAAACCTTTTACAATGGAGAATTATCTAAAACGGAGAACCCAGTGGAATTACCACTCAATTGTGATGGTCACGAATATTCTGATCAGAGTGTGACTTATCCTGAAGATATGAAAAAGAATAATGTTTCTGTGGAGTGTCCTACTTCCTAAAACAATTAGAACTGTCATCTTTGTCTGTTTAGATGAATCCTTTCCATCCAATTGTATTCTGTGGAAAATTATTTTAATTAAATTTTTTGTTTGTAGCAATTCACTTGCATTTACTGCAAAAGATTGCTGTGACTCGAGATACAAAGGAGTAGATTTACTTTCAAATTCAATTGGTCACTGTAATATTGTTCTAATATTTTTTTGATATGGTTTCTTTGTTGTCTTTTTCCATGTTCATGCGAATGTAGTTACCTTGTCAAAATTAAGTATTCATGAGGTTGATTTATTATGTCATATCGTATCTGTGTTGAAAGAGCTACCGTACGACTGTTTTACGAAACAGTTTAGTCAGTCACTTTATTTTCTGTTGATCTAATAATGAATGTGAGATTAGATATTTCGATGCTGCTTGTATCCACTGGTCAGGATTTACGTAGAACCACTTGAGTAATCATTTGACTAACCTAAAGGTTTATAGTGACTACAAGGATGTAATGTTTCATTATTTTACGCATTCTTCATACACCTTTCCATTTGCGGTCCACGTGACAACATAAAGCAGTGAACAGTTGGAGACTCCAGGTGATATGGCTCATCGATCTCGATGGTGTAGATGTATGCAAAGATTACCTGCATCCGAATCGTCATACTAAATTTCATTGTTCTCTCTCTTTTGGTGACTTTTTACCACTTACAACTGCTTTATTTGTTTGTTTCCTGCAACTTCGCCTTACATTAATTTGAAATCTGCCAAAGTGGACGCCTACGCAGTAGAGCCAGACTACACATTCATATTGTGTGCGTCTCACAGCCGTGGTTCCGTCATGCAAACTAGAATGAGATGTAGATGACCCTTCTCTGACTCTAACCTTAGCTAAGATGCCTGTATGAAACCTGAGATGATGCAAAGCAGTAGGTTTCATAGAAATAGACAAAAACAACACAGTAGAAACCCGTACACAAAACATCCGTTGAAGTCGCCACGATTCAGAGTAATATACGAAGAATGAGAAGATAGGAGAAACTGGCTTCAAAGTAGACATGGGTGTATAAGAGGAGAAACAGTATTCGGAAATAAAGGTCATTGCAAATATTCAAATATAAGATGTAAAAGAAAGAAAACATCTACGTCCTTGTGACCTATACTCAGTCCTGTCACAAGGAATCACCAACCGTTGATTACTGTTAACTCGAGGAACCAAACCAAGAAGATTGAATGTATCTGCACCACTAAGAATAAATGTCACGGACTTCACGGATGACTGCCATATCTTGACACGTCCACTATGCATATACTTCCAAACAAAAGCAACTTCTCTAAATGTTGAACCTTCAAGTAAACAGTAGGTTGCAAAACGCATTACCTGCAGTAGTCACAGAAAAATGAAACCGACAAACCACATAATAATATACACAAAGGATAGAGAAACAACCATAATAAACGAAGACAGCTACGGAAACATCAATAAATCAGCATGAAAGAAAACTGCGAAAATCCTAATCAACAACAAACACTTTGAAAATATGAGCATGAGGAAGAATTCATCCCAACAAAAAGACAGTGGTATTTGGAAAGAGCCCGCTTCAATTAGGAAAAAAATATATCATGAGAACTCCATACTATATCAAATATATTGTTTCGGATGAAGCTATCATAAAGATAATAATGATGATGTTGATGATAATATTTATTGTGGAAGCGTTTGAGTGTGTGTAGGCGTGGTGAGCAGGCATGTTGTGCTAAGTAAGGTTGTCTACTGGAAATCAGACAGCTGTGTAAGGGCTTACGACGAGTTGTCGTCTTCAACAACGACAACACGCAGCGTCGACCAAGGATGTCTACTATTAGCATTTTGCTCTAAATTGCCTGTAGATGTGGTGATGGAGATAACACGAAGTGACTGGGACTTCTCAGAAGTCGCCTGGTTCACTGACGATGGATACACCGATGACATTGTCGTCTTAAGTGAGGACGCTGACAAGATGCAGTCTTCTTTCTTCTCCACTTCTTCCTTGCCGGCTGGTGTGAAATGTTGTCTCGAGTTGAACCGACACGCTTTCCTATTTGTGCCAGCTTCTACATTGATCTGTCTCTCTTCTTACAGCTACACTATTGTACTGTGTGTGCATCGAAGCAATTGTTTTCGTATCGGTTTTGTGTGTCTAAGCATCACAGGAAGATGCAAGAAATGTGCAATCTCTGAGTGATTTGACTAGTGAGTGAGGCAGTTTAAAACATGTGTACATGGATGGCAGCTGGTTGAGGAGAGTGAGTCTGTGCTCGGCTAAGAAGATGAGAACACGAAGTTTGCATTCAGTTAGAAGGTAGCAGCAAGCACTTATGTGAAGATGGTGGCAACTGTCATCGGGATGAAGGAAGCCCGGCGTAATATGGAGTGTGGTGTGGAAACAGTCGGGAAGACAGTCGGCCACCTAGATGCATAGGTTAGCTAGTGAAAGCCAGTGGATTTCCACAGCATCATGCCAACTGATTGGTGTGAGAAGACTGATTCCAGCTGGCTGTCTTCACGACGAGAGATGAGAGCAGCTGGAAGGTGAATTGAATGAGAGTCTTCGTGATAGCCATGAGCCAGTTGTGGTTGGTGAAAGCGAAGTGAGAAGTGGAAGAGATGGAGAAGGCACCAATCAGTATGAGGTGATACTGGGCATTTGTAAGGCTTATGCAGTGAACTGGCACGAAGACGACAGTCAGCAAGACCATCACTAAAAACTATGCGTCACTGATAATTTCTGTGGACAGACGTGTGCAACGTTGGACGGACGACTTTGAAGCAAAGTTCAACTGACCAACAGGGACGCGTCCCTCGACCAACATCCGATGTGAACTGGAATGCGATGCAGACGTCGGTTGTCCAACTGTCGCCGCAGTTGAGAAGGCTGTCTGAAAACTGAAACGATGCAGAGCAGTAGGATCTGACGGTTTCTCAATTTATTATATGCTGAGAATTCCATACTATATCAAATATATTGTTTCGGATGAAGCTATCATAAAGATAATAATGATGATGTTGATGATAATATTTATTGTGGAAGCGTTTGAGTGTGTGTAGGCGTGGTGAGCAGGCATGTTGTGCTAAGTAAGGTTGTCTACTGGAAATCAGACAGCTGTGTAAGGGCTTACGACGAGTTGTCGTCTTCAACAACGACAACACGCAGCGTCGACCAAGGATGTCTACTATTAGCATTTTGCTCTAAATTGCCTGTAGATGTGGTGATGGAGATAACACGAAGTGACTGGGACTTCTCAGAAGTCGCCTGGTTCACTGACGATGGATACACCGATGACATTGTCGTCTTACGTGAGGACGCTGACAAGATGCAGTCTTCTTTCTTCTCCACTTCTTCCTTGCCGGCTGGTGTGAAATGTTGTCTCGAGTTGAACCGACACGCTTTCCTATTTGTGCCAGCTTCTACATTGATCTGTCTCTCTTCTTACAGCTACACTATTGTACTGTGTGTGCATCGAAGCAATTGTTTTCGTATCGGTTTTGTGTGTCTAAGCATCACAGGAAGATGCAAGAAATGTGCAATCTCTGAGTGATTTGACTAGTGAGTGAGGCAGTTTAAAACATGTGTACATGGATGGCAGCTGGTTGAGGAGAGTGAGTCTGTGCTCGGCTAAGAAGATGAGAACACGAAGTTTGCATTCAGTTAGAAGGTAGCAGCAAGCACTTATGTGAAGATGGTGGCAACTGTCATCGGGATGAAGGAAGCCCGGCGTAATATGGAGTGTGGTGTGGAAACAGTCGGGAAGACAGTCGGCCACCTAGATGCATAGGTTAGCTAGTGAAAGCCAGTGGATTTCCACAGCATCATGCCAACTGATTGGTGTGAGAAGACTGATTCCAGCTGGCTGTCTTCACGACGAGAGATGAGAGCAGCTGGAAGGTGAATTGAATGAGAGTCTTCGTGATAGCCATGAGCCAGTTGTGGTTGGTGAAAGCGAAGTGAGAAGTGGAAGAGATGGAGAAGGCACCAATCAGTATGAGGTGATACTGGGCATTTGTAAGGCTTATGCAGTGAACTGGCACGAAGACGACAGTCAGCAAGACCATCACTAAAAACTATGCGTCACTGATAATTTCTGTGGACAGACGTGTGCAACGTTGGACGGACGACTTTGAAGCAAAGTTCAACTGACCAACAGGGACGCGTCCCTCGACCAACATCCGATGTGAACTGGAATGCGATGCAGACGTCGGTTGTCCAACTGTCGCCGCAGTTGAGAAGGCTGTCTGAAAACTGAAACGATGCAGAGCAGTAGGATCTGACGGTTTCTCAATTTATTATATGCTGAGAATTCCATACTATATCAAATATATTGTTTCGGATGAAGCTATCATAAAGATAATAATGATGATGTTGATGATAATATTTATTGTGGAAGCGTTTGAGTGTGTGTAGGCGTGGTGAGCAGGCATGTTGTGCTAAGTAAGGTTGTCTACTGGAAATCAGACAGCTGTGTAAGGGCTTACGACGAGTTGTCGTCTTCAACAACGACAACACGCAGCGTCGACCAAGGATGTCTACTATTAGCATTTTGCTCTAAATTGCCTGTAGATGTGGTGATGGAGATAACACGAAGTGACTGGGACTTCTCAGAAGTCGCCTGGTTCACTGACGATGGATACACCGATGACATTGTCGTCTTACGTGAGGACGCTGACAAGATGCAGTCTTCTTTCTTCTCCACTTCTTCCTTGCCGGCTGGTGTGAAATGTTGTCTCGAGTTGAACCGACACGCTTTCCTATTTGTGCCAGCTTCTACATTGATCTGTCTCTCTTCTTACAGCTACACTATTGTACTGTGTGTGCATCGAAGCAATTGTTTTCGTATCGGTTTTGTGTGTCTAAGCATCACAGGAAGATGCAAGAAATGTGCAATCTCTGAGTGATTTGACTAGTGAGTGAGGCAGTTTAAAACATGTGTACATGGATGGCAGCTGGTTGAGGAGAGTGAGTCTGTGCTCGGCTAAGAAGATGAGAACACGAAGTTTGCATTCAGTTAGAAGGTAGCAGCAAGCACTTATGTGAAGATGGTGGCAACTGTCATCGGGATGAAGGAAGCCCGGCGTAATATGGAGTGTGGTGTGGAAACAGTCGGGAAGACAGTCGGCCACCTAGATGCATAGGTTAGCTAGTGAAAGCCAGTGGATTTCCACAGCATCATGCCAACTGATTGGTGTGAGAAGACTGATTCCAGCTGGCTGTCTTCACGACGAGAGATGAGAGCAGCTGGAAGGTGAATTGAATGAGAGTCTTCGTGATAGCCATGAGCCAGTTGTGGTTGGTGAAAGCGAAGTGAGAAGTGGAAGAGATGGAGAAGGCACCAATCAGTATGAGGTGATACTGGGCATTTGTAAGGCTTATGCAGTGAACTGGCACGAAGACGACAGTCAGCAAGACCATCACTAAAAACTATGCGTCACTGATAATTTCTGTGGACAGACGTGTGCAACGTTGGACGGACGACTTTGAAGCAAAGTTCAACTGACCAACAGGGACGCGTCCCTCGACCAACATCCGATGTGAACTGGAATGCGATGCAGACGTCGGTTGTCCAACTGTCGCCGCAGTTGAGAAGGCTGTCTGAAAACTGAAACGATGCAGAGCAGTAGGATCTGACGGTTTCTCAATTTATTATATGCTGAGAATTCCATACTATATCAAATATATTGTTTCGGATGAAGCTATCATAAAGATAATAATGATGATGTTGATGATAATATTTATTGTGGAAGCGTTTGAGTGTGTGTAGGCGTGGTGAGCAGGCATGTTGTGCTAAGTAAGGTTGTCTACTGGAAATCAGACAGCTGTGTAAGGGCTTACGACGAGTTGTCGTCTTCAACAACGACAACACGCAGCGTCGACCAAGGATGTCTACTATTAGCATTTTGCTCTGTATTACTTGGAGATATTTCTAGGATGATTATTTATTGGGATTTTGGTATTTCTTGTTGTGGTGTTTGGTCCATTGGGCACGGTTTATTGCTTTCTGGGTTGTTGGTTCTACAATCTTTCGCAGGCGGGATTTATGAGTTAGTTGTTTTTATATATGAGATTTAGTGTACATTTTAGTCGACTATGGGTGTCGGTATGTTTTGGCGTAGGAGACGTTTCCAACTGGTGGTACACAGGTATTCACGTTGATTGTTAGTTACATCAGGAAGGTAGAACTATGGGACGGAATGCGTTGGAGAAAGAAATCTGTGTAAAGTTTTTCTCAAGCACAGTCGCATTTGGGTGAAATCGTTAGCCCACGTGGAATATTGAATTTCTTTTACCAAGCGGAAGTTCGTTTTTGGAGGCAGTTGATAATTTAACTAAAAACATGTGAATAGATAAGGATTTATTAATGCAGTTATTCTAGTAGCACGTACAAAACATAAGAATAACCTGTATAATAGCGGCTTTTTTGTGATATGAAGTTCTGTACAAGTGTGTTACGAAGCCAGCTGATAGCTAAATCTCGAAAAAGAATGATGCCATGATAATGATCAGAATGAATATTGTACAACTGCATTATAGGAATCTGAACATCGATTTAATATATGAAACATCAGAATACAGTCTCAATAAAATATACTGTCTATGCAAATATTGGCTTTTATGAGAACTGAAAAATGGCTATTGGGAAAATCCAACAATAAAACGACAGCATGTAAAATCAACAAAAGACAATTATACAGTGCAGCACTATAAGCAATCAGTTTTTTACAAAAGTCAATTTACATAATATCGATAGTTTAAGTGTAAAAATAGTTCAACTCTGCACAATTTGAACAACAGCTTAACAAGCTGCAATATCTCTTAACCAACTGAATGATAAATGTATACAAACATTATTTGAAAATAGAAATTAGAAAGAGGATGACATGTGAATATAACAAAGGCATATAGAACAAATTATACAAAATCCGTTTTCAAACAGAAGTACTGTAAATAACGAACAATAGTGGGAAATAAAACTGATGTTATATATACCTAAAAATATACATGTTCTGGAAGGGTTTTTAGAAATACAATAAAACGGAATAAATCTGTGTGAAGAGGGCTATTAAAATAAAGAAACAGTCGTTAATATTTACACATACAAACGTTTGAAGAGGTGAGCTGAACAGAACAGAACTTCACAACAAGTGTGTGAATTATTACGGTGAAACAGTGTAGAAGTTGAGGACATGAAATCCAACTTTCTGAACAGCAACTACAGTAAGCGAATATGGGAATAGACTCACTGATGAGATGAATGAACAGCTGGAGTTAGAGTTGTAATCGACGTGCACGGATTGCAGCTACAAAAATTTCAGAATAATGTATAGATTTTGATTAGGTTTGAGACATTGCTCGAAGTTTGGAAAATTCAATAACTATTTCTACCACATCAACTGATTATATTAAGTGCTTAGTCAAAAGGAAAAATAAACTTACAGAGATGCACAGTCTACACCAAAAGACATTTCTGCAGATGGTGGAGAACTGGAAGGACCGGCACTAGTTACTTTAGACAGATTTCCAGAGATGTTTTTAAGATTCAATTTAAAATTAACACGTCTTCGTTTGATGACCGTGTTCAATGACTGTGAGTTCAGATTTGTGATGATACCGGCTAAAAAATAAAAACGAAAGATGTGATGGAATTGACTTTATAGACCGCAACTGATGGATTTATGAGTTTACGTCTGATCAAATCATGTCCAACGATTGTGATTGCCACTGTGGACCGTTTCGCCTGACTTGGTTTTAGGTCTGGTTGAGACATGCCAGTTTTCCTTTCGTTATTCAAAAGTACTAGTCGTGGTGAATCTTAACTTAATTTTGAATACGTTACAGATTACCAGCTGCACTGAAAAAACTGATGATTACGAAAGGAGACAGCGTCAACAATATTTTGTTGCTCACACGGTTTCAGTAGAGGACCACTGGTTCTTGCATAATAAGTGGCTAATTGTCTATTGCGTGAATGTGTACAAGGTTACTGAATGATTTCGATTCGACATACTGTCCCAACATTCAATTTATGGCAGACAAGTTCCAAAATCAAACGCAATTTATACCTTATTACTAATTTTTGTCACGAGATTGAATTATGTGTGAACACTGGTTCGTAAACTACAATGTGAAGAAAAGTTTCCGCACGAATGCTAACGGTGCTATCCATGTTAAGAGTACCGGTTGTTTACACTGGTCACTATGTATTGTGAAGGAAATCATAATAACGTTTTTACATGGGAGAGTTAACAGCTTTATGACGCAAAGTAATTCACCTATTACTGTAAAAATAGAGCTTATATATTTTCCTGATGAATAAATAAGAAAGGCGTTAAGAATTGCGGTGCAATAGAAATGAAAGTGAGGATCATGTTACCTTAAAAACAAAGTACGTTAAGTTATAAAGAAGATACTACAATTTGATTAGCCAACATACGACTTTGAAAAAAAACAAGCGTATAGCTCAAATAAAAATGCCATGAAACAAACAAGTAGCTATGTTAGTTTCAAGCTTTCTTCAGTTGAGATAAATCTCAGAACTTACGACGAGAGAAGTCAGCACCCCGAAGACGTTTCCCTCGACCTCTAACCCCATAGCCCATGCGTCCTCTCGTTGGTTTGAACACACACACTGTGTCAAGAGAGAATTAATTTGGCCAACAATTAGTGGATTCGTAATTTGGCTAGACCCATCGTGTCCAGGATTAGTATCCGTAGCATCAGGATCAAGACTGGATCGATAGGCATGTAAACTGGCTAATTCACTGCCGACAGGATTTGGAAAAATCTAGTGGGAAAACGATAAGGTGTAGGGAAACAAGAATTATATAGTGCACAGAAATACTGAATATTCATTGAAGTTTGAAATAGGAGAGTTTACACAATACTTTGTCTATAGTAGTTAAAGAATTAGATCAATCAGTGACCGAAAAGTGAACATTTAAAAAGGTTGCACAGTTCGTGTGATTTAAATCGAAGATAAATGCCCTGAAAAAGATGAATCAAATTATATCAGGTTAGATGAAACTGTGATGGAAACCAGCACTGGGATGAAAACGGTAACACGAATAAGGACGATTTGTCAGGAGTCTAGTCATTACAGTCAATCATCGAGCATCAAATTCTTTATCCTGTGATTACCCCAATACGATATTCAATCAGCGTTAAGGTTTGAGCTTTTCCTACCATACCACAGGAGCAAAAACGTTGCGTATTCGTGACGTGTCTATCAATTTGTCAGGTAAAAAAAATCCCGGAAACACTAGTAATTACAAAAATACGTAGGTATCAGAAAAGGAAATACTAAGGTAAGCGCTTTATATGTTGATGAAAAGCCATTGAGTGTCGAACACTATTAGAATGTCAAAGTCGTTGCTGATTTTCAAATTTATAGCTCCACATAAAAACATTTGATGAACATTCCTTGACATTTTGATGAATGGCTGACTCTAAAAATCATTACAATAAAGGTGACCGAAAACTCAAGAACAAGTCTTTTAAGAAATGATTTACTTCCGCATAGTCGATCAACGCTATATTTTTCTGCTTCTACCAGTTGTGAAAAAGGGGAACTATAACAATTCGAAATTTTGCGTGTTGGTAAGAGACTACTTCTATGGGACCACGCAAATCAATCTTTAAACAAAATTGATCAATGGACGGACTGTGTATGAAAGATATATCACTAAAGAAATTTGAACCGACGTGTATCCGTTACAACTGCTACACTTTGCTAGAGTACACAGATTCAGTTAAAAGAAATAGAAGGAACGCAACCAACAAAAATTTGACTGTCTGAAAACTGAACATGAAATGATTCAATTTATGAGCATGGTTGACAGAAACTGAAACCAACAGCTTTGGTACTGCAAAAACTTACCAGGCGGACATATTCACATATGAGTTTTTTATCGTGTCTGATAAGTTTGTTTGAGAACTCAGAAAGCACCTCAAGAAACAATAAGTTGCTTGGTACACCGGAGGACTGACCGTCTGCAGATGCGGCGGAAGCGACTCGAGATAAACAAAAGTGGATTCCTCTAGCATGGAAAGCAACCATAGCTTTTCGAATTTTGAGCAGATCAAGACCAAAGCTGAGATTTAAACGTCTAGCAAGTTCCTTGACTGTCTGGAGACCTTCAGATCCACGCTCGACGTGATTCTATAAAAAAGTAAGACATAACTTTACTTCGGAAGTAGACAGATAATCACAACAAACAACTTGCGACAAAACCGACAACAGGTAAATCAACTGACACATACTACCAGTGAAAAGTATATGAAAGTACTTTGTTATTCTCCGAAGACGTGAAATAAGTGCAGATGAATTTATATCTCCTCTATAAATTCTTATTCTCTGACAGCGATTTTCAGCAAACTGCTGTTTGAAACCAACAGTAGAAATTCCGTGAATGAATGCGGAAGCGTTAAAAAATCTTGTTAGAAATCGACCTGTATCTCGTATATTGACGTGGTGGTAGACCTTGTACGTCACAATCTAACGAGCATACAAGTTTAACACTTGTTCCCTTGAAGTCACACCATACCGAAAACGTCTGTCGGATGCTCGTTGGACCATAAGCAGTCAACATTATAGCGTAAATTGCTACGCTATGGTGCATGTATTAGGGCGAAGTCGTATAGCTGACTGGACTGGTGTATGACAGCAGTAAAACGTTGCCCTCGGATGACTATTAGAGCCATGCTGATATTGCCATCCCTGACTGTTGATTTGAGTCATGTAGAGAGATTTTGACTGTTTGGTTGACGTCCCAGGGACGATAGAAATCAGTGGGTAGAATCGTCTTTTTTAAAATATATCACAAAAGCATTTTCAATATTCACATTCTTTCGCTTCATCGTGTTTAGATTTTCTGAGGTTGACTTTCAGGAGCGTGTAGGTGGCTGTTTATTTTCCTTCGGAAGTCCTTGCTTTCGGAAGCATATGTTAATCAATAAATGCAGTTTAAGATCACTTGTGATGGGTAATTGTCTACCTTCTTTGTATTACTGAGCAGTCCCTCCAACTAAATCTCTTAACGAAAGGGATTTCGCTCAGTCAATAGTTTTCTTTTAATAACAAGTTCAACTATTTGGTCTCGTGATACTACGCTTGTACCTAGGAGTGAGATGTGACGTAATACAGCGGGTCTGTCGACATCCGCAAACCTGGCTATTTTTGCAAAGTCCTCGAGCAAGTAATTTATGCGAAACACATTTTATGGGTGTTTAGATGAATGAGATTATCATTGCTATCAAGAAAAACTGCTTAACCTAGAAGGCTGAAAACTTCATAAGAAGTATACACGACTATTTAAATGCAAAATATCGCTTTTGATTTACGTCCACTAAGTGGATAACTTTTTATGCAAAAATGTTAGAGTGCCTACTTGTATCAACCTGAGTGCATGGGATGCTAACGGGATTCCAGCTAGGGTACAAAGAAGGGACCCGTTCTTCATCTACAAAAAGACGTTAACCCTGGTAACGCGGAAGTATCCGACGACTGCGCTTCAGTTCACTCTGCCTCACTACATGGCTGAAACGAAGCCGTTGACAGAAGATATGAATAGAGCACACATTTTTGAATAAATGTAGTAGTCGCGTAGGAGTGAGATCACCATGTGTGCGATTGTAGAAGACAGGCGATAAGCACTAAGCAAGGAAAGTCGCTTGATGAGGTTGTGGACTTTCAGAGAATGAGGTAGCTTGGACATACGTAGTGCATTCAAAGGCATCTTTACCCTCGGCGTGCGATCTTGGCTGAATCAGGTTGTAAGAAGGCTCAGAACAGCCACACCAAGATTGTAGCGCCAGCTATCCGTGGCAAAAAGTTTGGAGTTTATTGGTCGTTTGCCAGATGCAGTTTAATGATACTGAGTGGTGGGTGATTGAAGGTGAATTGAGTACCTGTTTGGGGACAGAACTCGCACCAGCAGTCTGAGCTATCGACTCGGCGCTCTGTTAACTCAGCTACACTCAAATACATTACTTTAGTCACTAGATGTCCGAATTCCCCGGCTTTGAAGAATAAGTGACGAACACTAATAGATGGATATAGTTTGTTACAAAGAATTAAATGAGTTTTGTACGGAAACTAAAATGAAAATAATACGGGAAATGAAGCTACCCATCAACCTAAAGACAGTCATGGAAGGTATAATCAGCATTGCGTGTAAATACAAACTGCATAAAAGAACGTAATAATTTTACTTACATTAGAAGCTGCTTCGACTTGCAAATAACACAATTCTAAGCAATGGGCGATCATACGAGCAGTATGCAGGCGATTGATTTCACGAGCTTTGGCTAGCATAAATTTCATTATATCTCCAAAATCATTGAAAAATCGGATGTAATATTTATATATTGGAGCAGCTGCACGTATTGGGATGATGTTATATACGATCAACTTAAAAATGCAGCTAGTTGAGTCCGCCTTTCATGGAGGGATTCAAATTTGATATTTTCATCCTCCTCCTCCTGAGATTTATAAAATAATAATGACGAGTTTTATGTTTACTTAATATGTTCACAGTAAATGTAAGTTAAACGGTTGATTTTTGCATACAGAAGGTAATTCTCAAACACTATTGAAGTTTTACGTCGTTAGAATATCTATTGATCAACGTAGATTAATGGGATGTTTCTCTTATTTCTTTTCGCAATATCCATAGTTTTGTAAAGTTTTTTTCCGGTTAGATGACCAATAACTGTAGAAGTAATTGTAATCTGCTGCATCTGTTGATTCAGACTAACAAGTGACTTTTACCAACATTATTGTTGAACACTTCCACTAATAGACATGTATCATTTATACGAAAGCAATAATCGCAACTCGTAAATTCTGAGTAACTGAGTATGAGAAACAATTCATGCTTTAAGAACAAAATGAAAAGAAAGCTAACAGCTTCACGCAATGAAGTTCACACTTGTCAATTTATTGAAAGAAAGACTCATAAATTTCCGTGGTTGGAGGACAGAATAGTCAGGAGAGACAATCAAACAAGAGAAACGCCAAGTTGCATCGTAATTTCAATGACAAGCATACTTCTGAAGTTGGTTCTTATTAATACTTCCTAAAGTGCTTCTAGCTACAAAACAATGGAACGTTTCCCTCTTGCACACAGTTTCACATAACAACCACTTAATATCTGATCATGGACTCAATCCCCATCATCAACATGAACATATGGCTGGAGCATCACTGCAGAAGGGTTCAAGTTACCAACGTTATCGCTCAGGTATTACAAGAAATGCTTTAGTCATCATCATTCCAGCCTGCAGGGATGTGTATATGTGCATCAACCAATTCAAAAAAGCTGATGAGGTTCACTGGATTTTCTTAATCAATGCCTGAGAGTCCACTAGTCTTCATCGCTGTTTTTTTTAAAAAGCAAACTGGAGACAGCACGTAGCTTTTTCCGGATCAGTGTTGTTATTCTCTTCTGATAACTGTCTAGCTAGTTTATTACTAAAAGCAGTCTTATTACTCTTATTGTAGGGCTGCACTTGCAATTATCTTGCTGAGGTAGCCTTTCTACGTTCATTTAGGTGCAGACATACACATGCTTCGAAAGAAGCGGCAATCCTCCACGGATTGACTTTCCTGCTTGCATTCTTGAACTACGGTAAAATTGATAATAGTCGTTTAAAGAAGACTAAAAATCCTTGTAACTCAGGCTGACGAGATCAAACGTTATGTGTAGCTGATAGCCGGGTAAAGGTGATATATATATGATAGAATTTAAAGAATTAATAAAAGTTAAATACTAAACACCTTTCACCAGGCAAAGTGCAAACACGCGATTGCCATTTTCACTTAATCGCGCTCCACAGTTTACTAGAATAAAACTAACTGATTTTTATCCCTTCTCCCACGCTTTTCTATGCGTTACATTCAAGTAGAGGAATGAGTAATGTGATTATTCGAAGCGCCACATACCTATGAAAGTGAGCAAGTCTTAAAAATCCGAAACGATAGTTTTCAAAATTGTTAGTTTCACAAAATATTTCCATTGCATAGTCGCTTCAAAAAGCTTTCAATCAAAAACGACGATCTGGATCAATACATTGAACAACTCTTCAATAAGCTGAAATACACGATTTTTTGGGCTTAGATTACAACTGGCAAAATAAAATTGTAATTATTGAAAGCTTAAGTAGTCTACGACTCACATCATCGTCGACAAAAACCCTCTGTTCCAGAAAGTTGGTCAGCTTCAACTCAAGATTTCTATCAGCTTTATAGACGACGGACATGAGATTTGGCGCATGGAGATATAGATGATGAGAAAAGACAACTAATAGATCACAAACAGAAGTAAACGATTCTGTTGCAAGGAGTTTGCATGAATGATCCAAGTAGCTAATGCATACATCCATATACAAATTTAGCTTTTTGCGAAGTTTATTCAAGCCTGCCTATAAACAATAGAAACAAAACATTCATTAGCACGTCCGCTTAGAATTAAGTATAACATCGTTTCAATAGGTCTTAAAAAACCAAAAATTCTTCATGATGAATTTAAAAGCTTATTATTTGTACTGCAGAAAACTAAAAGAAACAGAGAAATCAGAAAGGTACATTACCTCTTAGACATTAATCACAGTTGTAACTCACCGTTAGACGCTCAACCAAAAAACAATGACCGGTATCTAAATTACTGAGACAAGATGTGTAAAACGCTAGTGTTTTAAGGTTAATTCACCTACTGGACGATGCTTTTTAGTGTGAAAAGTTACACAAAAATAGAATCTGGAACTACTTACAGGCGTTTAGAGCTAGATACAAGATAAAGTTTATTAGACACACATACTGACTGGACATATTGTTTCACCGCCAAAGAGCCGAACAGTCCTTACGTCGCGCACTTCAGTTTCAGCGACTATATGACGGGTAAGAACCCGTACAAGTCAAAAGGAAAATATTCCAAACATTCAAATTATATAGCTAAACCTAAAATACAAGAAATTTGGTCGATAACCTAGAGAACAACGTTGTGAATAGTTGCTAAGCTGTAGTACATGCTACCGACATAAAATGATGGAAGTGAAGCTGATAAAAATCCTTTTGAAACAATCAATTAATTATTCAATTAAATATTAAATTAGAGTTATGAAACTACTTAAATAACAAGAGTATACAATCTCTGAAAACCAAAAGATTCTCCTCTAAACTACGTTCTCTGAGGTAAATAATGAGCAGAATTTACAACGAGTAGATTGGTCTAACATCGTTATTGTAAAAAGATGATAAGTTTAAGCTCACCTTATCCACTTCAAATTCAAATTTCGCGAAATCCCACAGTAAAGCTTTACAACAACACCTGACAGCTTGAGCTACTATTTCACCACTGGCATCATTCACGGATTGCGTTATTCGAAAAAGACTGTCCCATAAATCCAATCCAGAGAGATCATGACAACTATAGGTGTTGGGAAAAAAGCACTACAAAGTTGTTTATAGGGTGAATGACCAATAATGCATAGGTAAAGTGATGTAGAAAAATTGAGTGAGGGACACTGATAGTAACTGGCTGTCTAAACCTTGATGGTGGGATGGCGTCATCCAGTACTACCAGTTGAGTGCTTATACCAATGACCCACAAGCTTCAGATTGGTAAGCATGATGCATATATTCAAATCACCGACAGCAATCATGGTGTCAGTAAAAATACCATTGATACACACACGTTTTAGTGAAAAGGTGTCTTACAAGGTTTATCAAGGTCCGATGCCAATAATTTCATAATAAAGTCAGGAATACAGTGTACAAGGTTCGTAAACCAGTGGGGAAGGCATGTAGTCAACTCTTTTAACAAATTCTATTAGCTAACTCAAGCATAAAAGTGTTGATTAGTACTAAGCTATAACTTAGAAACTGAGATAAAAAGTACAATTTCACTTTTGTTTTTTTATCATATGAATCACAGTAATAGCAACATTTACTGGATAACCTTTCAAAACACAATTTACTAATAATAGTCATATAACGCCAACTCCATAAGTATGATAGAGGGTCTATATCGTTCCAATTCTGTCTTCTATTTCGTCGTGTGCATAGTAGAATTTTCCATGAGTCTGAAACAAGTCCTAAGTTACTAACAATGAATGGTTCGGTGTGGAAACTTAAGTCGATACATTTATGTGCGAGGTTTGTTAATCGGTCACCTGGTTTTGCTAACGTATAAAATACTGTTTTACTCTACAAACAAACTAAAAAAAAAGAATGTGTACTATGCTAGTTGATTGTTTTCGACTGTCAGATAGAAGTTAAGGTTTTTCAATAGCTCCCTTAGCTTGTGTTGGTTAACGTTTATTTAATGTTAGTGGGAGTCAGGAATGTAACAACTGATGTGATAATAGTTAATCGCATAAACTACGTGGAGATTAATTTAAAAAGACGTCTTCGTGACTGGATCGACTGCAATGAATGATGAGATCTGGTTGGTAGCGGTTTTTTTAAGCTACTGGAGTCAAACGTGAGATATTTTCAACCAACAAACAGAAGATAATGAAATATGAAAAGGTTTGTCGAAATCATTGAGTGGGAGTTGTTTTCGATAAAATGCTTTGATTTCCTAGCTACTTCTGGGTTCAAAAGTCATGAAAAGCTTTTCACTTATCTTTTCCACTGATAGAAACAAGGATACAGTTGAAGCGAATGTACAAAACTGTACTTGCAAAGCCTTAGAAACGGCTAGTAATAGTTAATAAGACCAATAATGAAAATAATAACATTAACGAAAGCAATAACAGTAATAATAACAACAGTAAATAGAATTGCAACTTGACATCTGCGAGGAAATTTGTTGGCTAATCTATGAAATACGGTAGCTGCCAAGTCGCCAACCTGGAAGCCGTTAGTTTGACTGTGACAAAGGTTCCATTTTGGCTTCAGTTATCACCCAATAATAACAACTTGTTTTGATGGCTTACAAAGAAGTAACTTACTACGGAAACTTTTCTGTGAAACAGGACGAATAAGTGATTGGTACACATTCTAAGTGAGTCGCACTTATCATTTACAAAGGATAATAATACTGAATATGATTTCTGAAAAGGTATGACAGTTAAAATTTGATGGTAAGTAAATACAAAACTTACGCGTAAAACGCATAAATACGTTTCAATGCAGCTAACAGGTGAAACTCGTCATCCTGATCAGGTTCTTCTCCTACAAACAGAATTCAGAATGAAAAGCAATCAATGACGGCTTTTTACAACGATGATGCTAAACCGAAACTGCGAAGAAACAGACACAGGTCAAACTCTGAAAAAATGCTCCCCAGTGGGCAACACATGGTATGATTTTCAGCCTGAGATGCGTAATCCCCAGAACCTCACTAGGGGGTCGGACACCAAAACAACTGCTAAAAAAAAACAATTTTTTAACCCCCAACACCAATTTATGCGCTAATCACATTTCTCCCCTTTTTAAAATCACTTCTAGGGCAAGCGAACACCGAGAGGTGTACGGATTGCTAGAGCAGCATTCGTAAAACATGCGAAAGTCATCAATCCAAATGCATCGGATGAAATCATTCAATGAATGTCTTCTGTCACTCCTCAACACGCATCACCTAACTTTAGAATTTTATTTATATCATTATCACCAGGTGACAGCGATCCTGCGAAGAAAACAATGATGGAGAAAGCTGAGTCACTGAATACCGGCTCAGAGACCAAATTTCACAGGCGTACAGGATAGCGATAAATTATATTACTTTTTTCAAGTTTAACTAAAGTTGATACATAAGAATTCATCTAAATATAGGATGAGCCTGATGCGTTGAGAAAAGCAAAACTAGATTATTGTGGGCATTTTGGTTAGTTAGTTACAGCTTGTTAGGAATTCATATAGAACAAATCAGGAAGTAATGTTGACCAGTCTTCGGAATTCTATGGAGACGTATGTTATGAAATATCCATTAGCTCGAGATATTAGGGTTTATATACCGATAGTCCAATGAGACTTGTTTAATTGGTAATTATTCCAAGTCACCAGTGCATATATGCTTACGTAATAAATCACTGACTGATAACCTAGAATAAAAGCAACATGCAGCTGAAAGTGGCGTGATCTCGTCATCATTTCTCGACAGAGAGACAAAGAAACATCGGAAGAAACCAAAAAAAGATGCGGATGCTCGGTATATTGTTTACAATGCAATAATAATAATATATTATTCTCATGGGCTTTCGCTGCAAAATTTACCTGGTCATTGAAGTAGTTTAAGAATGCATCACGATAAAGATCCAACAGGCGATCCAACAGTGTGCTGCGGACAGTTTGGCACTTTGCACCGATGCTTACTTCATCCATACACAACGACTCATAAGCACGAGAGCAGGCCAACAATGTTTTTGGGTCGGTATGACGTTCCACAATATCCTGTAAGCACATTATTCTTGGCAATAAATATTTTTTAAAAATCATTTCTGTTACTTTAGACACAACAAATCAGTAAGGTTGTATAAATAATCAAAGAAAACTTACGAAAATTGACTGTGAGAACAGCTCTATTAGCTACCGAGGTAACATACGATAATCACAGAAAACCCCACAAATGCAAAACGAAACAATATTAGGGCAAATATATTATCGATGAAAAACAGATGCAATCATCATCCTCATTTCTGATAACTAAGGCAGCTCAGAGACCTGGTTCGCAATCATGTGCTGAACTCAAGGGATACATAAGGTTTATCTTCAAGATATCGAAAACCCAGATTTTCAACCAACGGCAACAATTACCTTTTGATCATAAACAACGAGACGGATGTTGTACTTGACAATGCTTTTCAAAAGTTAGTCAGGGGCTCAAATGTCCAGATAAGGCGTTGACGTTTAACAGAGAACTGTTCACCTTAAAGCTTGGTCGTAGTCAGGAATATGGGATTTGCTTTGAATATTTACACCAATAAGTCTACTTCTAAATAGAATCAACGTCGGAGCAAGCCATCACCGCTGGGCTAACTGGCGTTAACTCTCTGTTCCCTGTGCCACAAATGAAAGATATTTTACAGCAACAAGCGTTGCACGGCGATGTAGTAATGAGAACGGTCACTATTAACAAAGTACGTCAAAAAACAAAGATTACAACATTATTCTAAGACCACCTAATTTTGTTGATAATTGGCATCACCCGAAAGAGCCAAGAAAGGGCAACTGAAAAAACGAAATAGCCAGGAAATTAAAACCACAGCAAGATTAAAAGCCAAAGGTCGAAAACAGAAAAAATGCACACAACCGTAAGCCGTACCTGTCAGACATTACCTGTAGAGCAAGTAAAGCGGGATTTTAGCAAGACGAAAACCTAAACCTCAAACATGCCGCTAACGCAACTACCCGCACCAGCTAGAAATAGGTAGCTCATTTGCAGCGAAGTCAGTGTTCACTGATACTATCTCCTACACCAAGCAACCAGCGACGTATTGAAGTGAGTACGTTTTCCATCCTATTCAACTAAGAAACATAAACTAACCTTCATTTCATCACATGCAGTTCACAGGTTGCAAACTTCAGATCAGCTAGAAGAAGCAATACATGTAAATAACATGAAGTGGTGTCCCAACACAGTGGATATTATAAACAGACTAGCGTCTGCTAAAGCCTCAAAACACCACAGATGAACTTCGAAAAATCGGGCGACTTACTGGTTAAAGATAATACGAGATAGTTTTAAAATGAAACCGATGGTGAATGCGTTACACATTTCTTACTTACTGTTTGTAAAAGACAACGCATGTGATCAAAGCTTTCTTATGGAGACGATTATCTGGTCACCTATGTCTCTTCTCCTCTTAGCTATGCCTCGGTTCCACTACCGCTACATTACGCAGTGTGGCACGTATCGGCGTCAATAAAAAAACGAACCATGGTTCCAAACAGTTCCTGAAATCTAGTCACTCTTCCTATTATTACTTTTCATCTACAATGTGATGCGGCGACCACGCCTGGCTCCGTGAGATAGACAAAGACCCATACCTATCGTTAGGCTAACTGGTTGTTCAAGCCTCGGTGGATGAAACGGGACATCAGTAACAAACACTGTAACTCAACCCGGCACATGTTTACATCCCGGGCACGAGTCACACTCGTTGTGTGTAGGCTCATGATACTACATGATCGAAGCAGGTTGGATGGAGCATGAACCTGTAACCTACCAGCTGAAATCCAAATATATAGACAAAAACTCAAGTTTCATCTAAGCTAAAGTAAACCCCCAACTCTTGTAGGAATTGAGTAGGTCAAAAGTAGCCTGAATCCATGAAGGGCCAGATGGGCTAGTGTCAGAAGGAACTAAGGACGGTGGTCGTGAACTATCGGTCTGGTCAACTGAAGTGTTAGCTAGCCTATGAGAAACAGATATGAACACCTCAAACTGGTCTCAATCGCTGATTCTCCTGGTCTTCAATAAAGGAGAAGTATCCTCTTGTGATAACTACAAGAGAATGAGCCTGATGAACAATGAGTTTAAGATTCTACGTTCTGTGAGTATTCGACGATTCAGAGAAGCTAGGAAACAGCAAACTCGAATGGACCGGGGAGGTTTCAAACCTGGCCGTGGGTGTACTAACCACGTATTCACCTTCCACTGGGTTCTGGAACACAGGTAAAAGCACCGATACCCAATGCACAGGGGTTTATTTAGATGCAATCGTCTCTCATTCGGTGTGAAAACAGATTCGGCTGTATTCCAACAAGTATTCCACCAAGCACGCTTCAATATGAGTTGCATATAAAGATCCATCACCACTGGGCAATAGCCTTTCATTTTTATTTCTAAGCATCACAACAACTGTAGTAGCATACATCCATATTGCTGTGTATGGTAACACGATGAGTGGTAAATGGCTGAACTACGATATTCATATGGATTATATAGTTATGTGGATACCTACTGATACTCGAAATCTTTGAAGTAAGTTCTTGTTGGCCATTGAGGCTATAAACACGTGAATTGATATTAAAATAGATCTTTATCCGACGGAACATGGAACCATACAGACGGACCAAACATGTTAGTCACTTGTAACGATAAAAGTGAATATTGTGACTTTGATGACACTCCAATGTGAAAAAAGAATGGTGAGTGGAAACGACCCAAACTCATAAATAGTCTGTATGTACTGCAAAGTTATACTCTACTATTCCTTTTATAAGTTGTAGACACTTTTGATATTATGATAATCAAGAGATATAAGCAGTAGAGAGAGACTAGGGCTGTATGGGTGTAACAGAAGCATGTATCCGTTAGAGATTTCAGTACCTTAAACACCGTATGAAAAACTAGCGTAAAGTTAAGCAAAGGTTTAGGAGCTATGTAAATTTGTCTCTGACTTGATCTGAGGGAAAAAGACAAGACATCAACTGAATTTCAACTGCAGAGATTTTAATGAACAAATCATACAAAGGCGAAGTAATAATTCAGTGTCGCTTGCTGAGCGACACGCAGTAAATTATTTAGTCATGCGCACACGATTATTATTTACACTCGAAATTCAGATACATTTAGATTGCAGCTGAGACAGAGACAATCAATTAGATGAACCCCAAAAGAAAGCATTCAAAATAAGCATACATGAATAGCTTGCAGCAGAAGATCTAAGTGCCGTTCGTGTCGTCCCGTTGTATACAGCTCCAACTCCATATATCGTGGAATAGTTATCAGATTAGTCGCTCGTTCAGGAGATTCACCATACTTAGTGAGCAGTGCTGGTAGTGCAGTTATCATGGCTTCTGTCATACGATTACGTTCCTCTGCGATAGCCCGAGCCTCCCGAACAGACAGTGTGGCGCTGTTACCAACGTAAATAGGTCCACCACCTCGACTACGACCGGTGGTATCTGAAGTGCTTGCACCGCCAGTTAAGTTGCAGCTGGAATGTGAATGGTGACCGCCAATCTGTGTACAAAAAAAAATCATCAACTGAACTTACATTCAATTCGAACATTTTGGAGCACACTAAATGAAATATTGTCGAGCAGCAACGGAAAATCCAAATGACAACTGAACTAACCTGCCGTCCCACTGGTGATTCTCCAGTTGCCGCTTGACGAACACAACAAACCATAACTTCGATCAAGCTTGTTTCTTGGTTTGCATCCATAGGCTCTTCACCCCTACCAGGTTCTTCAAGAAGTAGATCCAACATGGCTTCCCAGTCACGAAGCATAGGGCATAGATCCCATAAGCTATCGACCAAATAAGTGGCGTGCTCATGCAACTAAAATGAACATTCAGTTTCATAATCAAATATGAATGAGATAACAAAAGATGAATGATCAAACGAAAGCTATTTCGCTTACTACAGAATACTTAAGTTTATTCAAAATGACATACAGTAAACTTCTTCATGGTAGTAGTTTAGCTGGTCAATATTCACGAAATATGATCTAGATGTTCGAGTAGGCTCTCTATTCGAACGCTTGTGGGCGTGTTAGAGCCTATGGTGAGATGTCAGGTGACTTGTACTCATCGAGTGGTGTCCGTCAAGGATGTACACTGTCTCCATTCTTATTCAATTTTATCATAGATACTCTTATGGAGGTTTCCCTCTCGTCACCTAATTACACAGGTTTACCCAATCGGTGGAGAATTTTCGTCAAACCTAGAATATGTGGATGACATAGTCCTGTTAGGTGAAGATGCTGACAAGATGCAGTCTTCTGAACACTTTGAGTAGCAATTTGAGAATGTTTGGGATGCGTTTCTCACCACCCAAATGCGACTTGCTGCTCAAGGATTGGTCTTCAACGGTGCCCCACTACGGCTAACAATGAAAAGTGTAACGGTTGAGTGTGTCGACCATTTCACTTACCTGAGAAGTAGGATCAGCCATGGTGGCTCAGTGGCCGACGAGATCTCTGTGCCGATACAAAAGGCTCAATTGTTTTTTGCCAATTTACGCCACCCATGGTGACGCCGTGATATCCGATTGTCTACTAAGGACCGCGCGTACTGCACAGCAGTCCGCTCTCTTCTACTGTATGGCTGTGAAACATGGCCATTGAAGGTGGAGAACATGAGAGGGCTCCAAGTGTCTAGCGACCGTTGCCTTCATAGTATAGGCTGTATTCCATGGTGTCACCCCGTGAGCAATGCAGAAGTCAGGAGCAGAGTTTTAGAGAGAAGAGGTAACTCGGTTGACGAGGTTGTGAACCTTCATCAATTGAGATGGCTGGGACAAGTGTTAGGTACGCCTAGTCACCGATCGCCTCGTCACACAATATGGCCGAAGTAGGTCCAGGCTGGAAAAAGGCTCGAGGTGGGCAGACTAAAACATGGCACCGATGTATGAAGTCTCTGACTGTTGGTTTGAGCCAAGTGGGGCGGTGCAGACTGGGTGACTGGGGTCCTCAGGACAAGAAAAACCAGTGGTTGGAGACTCTAGGTAGTGTAGCTGAGAACCGATGTCAATGCGCAGACGTACGCATACATTATCCTCATCTTAACGACGCTATACCGAATCTCACCATTTTGTCATTCCTCTTTCCTTTCTTCTCGTACCTCATATTTCATTTGACTGAATTCTCTTATCTTCATCTTGCGCCTCACTGCCTTTTTTACTTGATGTACTGATATGAGGTGTGAAGACTCGGACCGTTACACAGTAATGCCTGGTCCTAGGTTGATCTGGATGGATGATCTAGAAGATGTAACAGTAAAAAATAAAAAAGCGATTCACGTTTCCGACTACTCAGCAATGCCAAGCACAGAACAGAATTCGATTATATGTTATACCAGTAAACTAGCTGCATCAGCACACCATGAGTAGTCATGATCTGATAACACCGACATAGTTTCGCTATCTCTATACTCATATACATTTTGAGCATCCCAAACAGTGGCTCGAAACTATCAACAAAGGTGTCAATATATCCCGAAACCTAGTAATTGAGTCTCCTTCATTCAGCATATACTATTCCCAGTCAATAATCAACAAATTTAAGGAGAAATAGTGCACCGAAAAGTGACACTGACGTTCATTAACTTACTTCACTTTCGATGAAAAATTGTACTAGATCACGAATGAGTGGTGTATTTTCACTACGTTTCTTCCCCTTTCTAGTTCTTGCTGGAGGTGGGTGAGTATCAACTTCAAACAGCTTTAATGTCAAGAACTCCCCTGCTGCTTGTGCCAAAGGCCTGTAAGAGCAATATACCAATTCGTATATGTTCTCACAATCCTTGTCTTCAAGCACCGAATTGTTGTGTCTGAGAAGAGAAAACGTTTATAGGAAGGAATAAGACAAGATACACTTGGGGCACTTTCATTCATACTGAGATTCGAAAAGTATGTCGGAGTAAATGGGGGTATACACGTTGGACCACTGACAAGGGAAGAAAGTGAATCAATAAAGGATCCGATGCATCTCTAACAAAAATACACATTCGCGCAGGTCATCTGCCATAGCAGACTTTTTAATGGCACCAAATCATGTAATTGCAAGAAAACCTCTCAAGAACAGACATTTTTGCAGTTTGAATTTAGACTCAAGTAAACTGGTTACATTATACCTAGCAAATGAATAGAGAACCACAATACCCCAAGGGCGGCTCATGAAACATCTAGATCAGGTAGACTGGAAATTGAAACCAGGACCGATTGCTTCACAGCAAAATGCCTAACCCAGAATCACATTCCCACAAACGATTGGTACGTTGTAATTGTCCCAGAAGACATTGTTACCCTTAGTACCTCAGACTCAGATTCCTTAGACTTTATGAAGCTGGTGATGATGTCACCAAGTACGGTGGACAGTTCAAATACCAACCCGTGTCAACGCATTTAAATACTCAGTCTGAAGTACAAATGTCCTTTACTGCTTAAAGTTAATCAGTAGGAGCTCTTGATGCACATTCGCCACATACTGTGGCGCGATAAATTCGTAGGTTCACTCTGTTGGTTGGAAAAATTCTGAGCAGATGGTTGGTGGCGGAGCGGTAGCACAAATAGAGGACATACCCCAAACAAAGACAGGTTTGTGGTCCGAAACTCTAGATAACCTTCAAGATGTTGAGATCGTAGAGCACAAATCTACAGAACATTTGATGAGGTTGCTTTCCGAGTCTTTATGGGATTAAAACCCTGGAGTATTCGGTTGTTGGCAAAGTATGCAACTCCCCGAAATCACAAATAATTGTTGTATATGGTTCAAATGAAACTGACCCAGCAATTTCCGACTTCTTGAATGTAACGTTCGATGACTTTGCTTCATTTAACTTCTGTACATAAAACTATTTACATGAAGTGTTCAAGGCATTTAAGCAAGGTGGAGGATAGTTTTCGTGACAGTTAACCATAAGTTCGAGTATTCGTGAGATCAGATCCACGATTTTCAGTTTTTACCACATCGTAATGAAAACTATTCAAGGAATTTACAACTCAACAGAACACTCAATTAATCAGTCACCGTTACTGGGGTTGTTCTTCGCCACTGTTGTAATGTGACTTTTCAAGTTTTGGGGTGAACTTTCACACAAAATCATGAGCTTAAAAGATATTTACTACATAGGTTAAATGTATGCACTTTTCTTCAAATTTCACTGCGAATATAAAAGTAAGAACCATCTCTCTGAAATCGCACAGCTGACTGTAACTTTTGTAGAGTTGTCGTCGCCTAACATCTCAAACTTGTTTCAAACACTCTCTGTACACTTGGAAACAAGAAACAAATAAAGGTATCAATAAACGGGTTTGCTGGGCCCCAATACGGCAAAACGCATGACAATACTATTCCTGAGCGTGAATGTAACGCATTAAATACCAAAAGATTTAGACTCACTTCAATATACATGACACTAGTTCACAGCTTGAACTGCGACTTCAGCTTCCTTGTCGAGAGTCATGTCCACGAGACGTGTTTTAAAACGAGAAGTGAAAAGCTCCAAACTGCTAATGAGAGTAGGATCCTCATACAATGGATGTAGAGCACGAAGGCACTGAAGACGAACATCCCCGGTTCTATCGTAAAGTGTCCAACCAACGTATTTCAGATAGCTATCATTTAGAAACATTGCGGGATAACGACGCATCCAAACACCAATCTCTTGCATACATATTGTACGTATTTCAGCTTCGGTATCCCTGAAATGGTAAGTAGGCTGCTTCGAACAGTCGGAAGTAAAACAGTGCTACCAAAGAAAGTGGATAATACAAAGCCATAGCACAGTGTACGCCACTATGAGCGCTAACGAGTATAAGGGGCCTGCGTTTTTGTCAGGAATATTCCTAATTAAAGTTGAAATACTGAGGAATACACAGAATCCTACAAGCAGTGAAATAGTATTAGCGTCAATGCAACACCACTTGTCATCAAGAGAATCGAGATTATGAAGCCCAAACACGATGCCCATCAGTTTGAAACCTCTGTGTTCGATGGTTGCTGTCTCCATAGCACTACTTCCATTTAGCGCTTGGATTAAATAGGACTGATACCAAGTGCACAGGTCTTCTTTTGATCAGCGTTTTTACTTCAGTAGTTTTTCTACAGTTTCATTCAAATGACAACCTGTTCCGAAAAACTGACAAAGTTAAGCCTAAGATGAAACATTTAGTTTATCTTTAACGCATGAGTGCCCTGCTAAAATGGAATTTCATGCTAGACTTGTTAATTTGACAAGACACACAATGACACGGTACCACTTACTGAACGAAGCTCCAGGCAAAACTCATAACTTGTAATCACTTCAATGTCTTTATACCACTGACAATGATTCCTTACAGTTCAATCTCGTCTGATTATGCGGTCTTTATGGTAATCAGATTCGCCACGCGTCTGAAACTCGTTTTGGGTCATTCCTAATTGCAAGTATTGGCTATATTAACCAAACTCCACCAATTTACATCCATCTCTCCTTGCCTGAAATAACTGACCTAAAGGACTGACTCTTCCGCCACATTGTGTGAAGGAATGCGTGAAAAGAGTCACTTCTCTAGATCATATAGGCTCTCAGTTTTACTGTTTCACATTGAAAAACTTATGTGGCATTATGCGACAGTGACTGGCCGACAGAATCAGAGTAGAACCACCTCGCACACAGGCGCATCGGCTCAAGTTTTCACTCTACAGTAGTACACTTAGTACATGTATATTCAAAGGTAGCGAATTCAAAGTAGATAAAGCGAAAGACAGTGTGACCATGTGATACTTTGTCGTGCTAAGGCTGATAATAATTAAAAACGGTTAAAACACTGAGTTCGCGTATGAATAACAAAATAACGTTTGAATCTACCTGTACCGATGAACGAACACTCCTTTGAAAATATATATGAGCATATTTTTAACTTCCTCCATATTTTCTTCCAACTCCTGACGACGCCGCATTAGCACATCAAGTCTATCAGAAGCCCGACGATTCTGCGTTTTTGACCTTTCAGCTTCATACTGACGTTGTGTGTTGTCTCGATTGATGCTGACATTCAACGCAACATCGACAAGAGCTGTCATCATTTTCATGGCAGCCAGCGTACTGGTGTGTCTAAATGCCCGAACCTGTTAAGTGTCACAACAAAAATATATCCTCACTTCAAACATCAGTCAATACGGAAAAACAGACAGAGCATATGACATCCCTCAGATTGAAGGAAAATAATCTTGCTTAGCAAACCAACCTATTGGTAAATGGCGCCGAAGAAGTGATAATCCCAACCGCCTTCCTAGAAAACTTTTACTTAGCCAGCTTTTGAGAAAATTAATTCCATAGACCCCCAGCGAAACTAAAATTCACATCATACGCTAAGTCAATTTCGTGCTGTCGCTAATATCTGCATCTACTGACTACAACTGGGCATGAATAAATAAAAGGAATCAAAACTTACTTGTGAATCTGTAAGACCTGTTAGTAAGGAGATGACTTGGTCAATCATACACTGATCGTAAATAATACTGTACTGACACTGACGAATCAGCACTTGGATAAATTCAACAAAATTTGAGCGAAAACGTTTCCAAATAGGGCTTGACTGAATTAGTGGATATTCACCTGAATCTTCATCAAACTCTTCGGCCATTCGACGAATAATATCAGCATGTGACAGGTGACTATACATTTCTGGTGTTACTTTTCCTGTTAAAAGAATATTTCATGCAATTTTCAGAACATCACAGACGTAAAGTAATTTTTCTAGATTTTTTGTTCATTAAAGTAGTTGAAAGTGATACAAAATGATTATTGTAGTGATTCGAATGATCATTTATGTAAACGGACAATGAGCTCTCTCATATATTTAATCCCGAAAACGATCTTAGCCTATATGCTTTTTGCATTCTGATTCATAGCGCCCTAAAAATCAAAACGATAGCTGCTACCTTGACGTGGTGGTCGGGCTTGCATATCACAATGACCCAACGAGCTATGCTGGTGGAACGCTTGTTCCCTCGAGGTCCTACCATACCAGAAAGGTCTGTTGGGTAGTGGTTAGACGAAAAGCAGTTACCGTCATAGTGTAAATTGCTACACTATGATGGGGGTCTGAGGGCGAAGTCGTACTGCTGCTAGCTGGATGGGGTGTGACAGCAGTAAGGTGTTTCCCTTGGATGACCAGCAGTGCCAAGCTGATGCTGCCTTCTCAGTGGAAGGGGGGGTTAGAAAAGGTCGGCCCCAAAAATAACACACTCCACCACGCCCCACGGTCTGCCGGGCCGGCGGTGTTGGTTCACTTGTCGTTTCCTTTCGCTCATCCGGCCCCAAAAATACAAAAATTCAAAATAATCATACTCAAAAGGCTGGGTGTGACAGGCCTCAAGCAGATGTCCGATGGGCTCTGCGGTCACACAAATCTCTTTCAGGTACCTTAAGAAGAAATAGCCTTCCACGGTGTGGGCAGCCGGGAAGTGTCAACCGCCCTCACAACTCTGTCAGCACCCAAGTTTCTTCTGACTGCTATCCTCCTCCTCCATCATTACCTTCTAATCTTCCTTCACGTCTCTTAATTAATGATGCTGCATCATCTTCAATTTCTCCTACCTCTGCAGCCTTCGACAACGATCTGAGTCCACAGAACAGTGTCCCTGGTCTCCTTAAACCACGCTCCAAATTACATATTGGAGCCTTCAATGTCCGCACCCTCCGTCAAATTGGCCAACAGGCTTCGTTGGCAAAGACTCTAGCAACTCGGGCATGGATGTGTGCTGTGTTTGTGAGACACGCATACAGGACCCAAGTGTGGTTATTCACCTGACCTCTCCTGACCAATCTGGTGAATCTGCAAAATTCACCCTTCGAGTTTCTGGAGATTCGATAGCTAGCTCTCGTGGTCTTGCAGGTGTAGGTATAGCATTAAGCACCAGGGCAGAAAACTCACTACTAGACTGGATCCCAGTTGATAGTCGCCTCTGCGCTATGAGGCTGAACGGCACAGTGAGAACTAAAAGGAATAGTGAGACTCGCCGTTGTCTCTTTGTAATCTCTGCTTACGCACCCACTGACTGTAGTTCGGATGAAGTGAAGGACGAGTTCTACCATAAACTGTCTAACCTCCTCTCGAAAGCCAAACGTTCGGACGTAGTGGTTGTTGCAGGTGACCTCAACGCACAGGTGGGTAGACTGAGTGAGGCAGAAAGGCACTTAGGTGGCACTTTCGGAATCCCAGCTGAACGTACAGATAACGGTGATCGCCTATTACAACTATGCTCAGATAACCGCCTATTTTTAGCCAGCACAAATTTCAGACATAAAGAAAGGCACTGTCTGACCTGGCGTCCACCGAGCTCGACTCAGCGATGGACACAGATAGACCACATTGCTATTAGTCATCGCTGGAGAGGATCGGTGGAAGACTGCCGCTCCTTCTGGAGTACGTGTTTGGACAGCGATCATGCGTTGGTCCGAGCACGTATATGCCTGCGTCTCAATGGACGTAGAAAAAATTTGGCAACAAAACCACTACGAGTTCTGCTGGACAACGAAAACACCAAAGCCGTGTTCAGTGAGAAGTTGGCTAGGCAGTTATCGGAACAAAAGACTGTCACTCATCCAGAAGAAGCTTGGTGCCATCTTCAGTCTACTGTAAAAGCAGCACTGGAGACTGTAGCCGACTCCAAGATAATGGCTAAAAAGAGCCAGTGGATATCAGCAGCTTCTTCCAAACTAATGGATGCACGTGAATGCATCCCTGCAGGCTCTGAGTACAATGAAGAGCGAGCGCAACTTAAAAATAAACTGACGAAAAGTCTGCGCAACGATCGTGAACAGTGGTGGGCAGCAAAGGCTAAAGAGATGGAAAAGGCAGCGGCGATCGGTAACAGTAGACAGTTATTTAGACTTATTAAGGAGACTGGGGGGAAATGGTCAACAACAGTTAGTGAGGTTATAGCGGAGAAGGACGGATCGGCGATTCACTCGCAGGGAAGGCGACTGGGACGATGGGCAGAACACTTTGAGGAACAGTTTAACTGGCCTCCAGCCACCATTGCGCTGCCCGCTATCCAGTCGGACCCTGAATGGGACATAGAGACAGGTCCCCCAACACTAGAAGAAGTTGAGAAAGCGGTAGGTAGCCTGAAACGGGAAGGGCAGCAGGACCAGACGGACTACCTGCTGAGGTATACAAGAATGGTGGTAGAGTTCTCTTAGTCAGGCTAACGGAAGTGTTAGCCAGTATATGGGAATCAAATACGATCCCCTCCGACTGGTCTAAGTCACTGATCATCCCAGTCTTCAAGAAAGGCGAGAAGTCCTCTTGTGATAACCACAGAGGAATCAGCCTGACAAACATAGTGTCTAAGATCCTAAGTTCTATAATTCTCCGACGCCTGAGTGGAGCTCGGGAACAGCAAGCCCGAGAAAACCAGGCAGGCTTTAGACCTGGCCGTGGATGTATCGACCAAATATTCACACTGCGCCAGGTCCTGGAACATAGGCATGCTTACAGACGCCCGACAATAGCTGTATTTCTCGACCTGAAGGCGGCATTTGACTCCGTTGATCGAGAAGTCTTATGGCAGTGTCTGTCACTGAAAGGCGTGCCTAGTAAGTACATCACCTTATTGAAAGCTCTCTACTCGAACACTTGTGGGCATGTTAGAGCCTATGGTGAGTTGTCCAGGGAGCTATACTCATCAAGTGGTGTCCGTCAAGGATGCCCACTATCCCCATTCTTATTTAATTTTATCATAGATATTCTTATGGAGGTTTCCCTCTCGTCACCTAATTACAAAGACGTTGACCGGATCACAGGTGAATTTTCCTTAGATCTAGAATATGCAGATGACATAGTCCTGTTAGGTGAAGACGCTGACAAGATGCAGAGTCTTCTGAACACTTTGAGTGGGAATTTGAGAATGTTTGGGATGCGATTTTCACCACCCAAATGCAAATTTTTGCTCCAGGACTGGTCTTCAGCGGTACCGCGGTTAACAATAGAGAGTGAAGTGGTTGAGTGTGTTGACCACTTCACTTACCTGGGAAGTAGGATCAACCCGGTGGGTTAGTTGCCGATGAGATTTCTGCACGGATACAAAAGGCTCGATTGGCTTTTGCCAATTTGCGCCACCTATGGCGCCGCCGTGATATTCGTTTGTCTATTAAGGGTCGCGTGTACTGCACAGCAGTCCGCTCTGTTCTACTGTATGGCTGTGAAACATGGCCATTGAAAGTGGAAGACATGAGAAGGTTACAGGTATTTGACCACCGTTGCCTTCGTAGTATAGGACGTATTCCGTGGTGTCACCATGTGAGTAATGCAGAAGTTAGGTGTAGAGTTTTAGGGAGAAGAGGTAAGTCAGTCGACGAGGTTGTGAACCTTCATCGACTGAGATGGTTGGGACACGTACTACGTATGCCTAGTCACCGATTGCCTCGTCACACAATGTTGGCTGAGGTGGGTTCAGGCTGGAAAAAGGCCCGAGGTGGCCAGACTAAAACATGGCACCAATGTATGAAGTCTCTGACTGTTGGTTTAAGCCATGTAGGACGATGCAGACTAGGTGGTTGGGGTCCACGGGACAAGAGGAACCAGTGGTTGGAGACCCTAGGTGATATGGCTCAGAACCGAAGTCAGTGGCGCAGATGTATACACACATTATCCTCATCTTAACAACGCTATACCGAATCTCACTATTTTGTCACTCCTCTTTCCTTTCTTCTCATACTTTATATTTCTTTTGACTGCATTCACTTATCTTCATCCTTCACCTCACTACCTTTTTACTTGATGTGCTGATATGAGGTGTGGCAACTCGGACCGTTACGCAGTAATGCCTGGTCCTATGTTGATAATGATGATGATGATGAAAAATCAAAACTATTTCAAGTTAACCTAACTTGGGTTAGGAACACATACTTTTGTGTGACACGTTACCTGGAACAGGATAGATAAATTATAAAGTACAAGTTTATGCTGAGAAAATCGAAACCCTTTGATATTTGTTCCCAAAATGAATAGTTAGGCGGATCAAATCATACACACCTCCCCTTTGTGCCACTCCAAGTGATTTTGTTACGACAAACCGCATAACTGCAAACATCGGTAAATACTCAGGACTATGTCAACTGCACAAAACTCCTTTGTATTTTGTCGGCATAGAGTTAAGGCACACTGGTCGAGACATCAAACGAAGTAGCAGGTTTCAACCTGCCTACCATTGAGTGATCAAATAATACCACCAGCCCCTACACGATTGGTGCGACTCACTGCCCAGTGTACGAACATGCACAGAATTGCCAACTTACACTCCGGAATTATACCTCCTACTGCTATTACCGTTCGGTCATAAGAAATCGCTGTCACTGCGCCGTCTTCCTAGAAGACAATGTTATTATTTTAGATCTATTCCAAGCAAGCCTTGTGGTACAGTATGGAATTCTCATCACGTAGTAGTTCAACAAACCTATTCCAAGTACAATATCTTTGTCAGAAATAATCATTACTTTTGAATAGTGTTAATAGCGACGGTAATAAAAGCCACAATGTGAAATGAGCAACTGGTAATACACTAACGTTTGGTTTAGACTGCCGAATGAATAGAATATCGAGCGTAATTTCGGTGGTTTTAGTTTATTCAGCCAGCACCAAAATCTGCAAGTCGACGTACTTACGCATTTCTGTGCACGTATAAGCCCATTTTTTATCGGAGTATTGTTTATTCTTTGCTTCGTTATCGGCTTAAAAAGCGGCAGTTTGAAACCATTTCAAAATTGTGCAAGCGTACGACGTGCTTAAAAGACATATTTAAAAGATTGAAACAAAAATGAAGGGGAAGAACTTGATTAAATAAATTCGGCGGAAAATTCTGGGTAGCCAAAAGTTCCAGCAGGCTACTGCACAAGGTGAACGAGAATATTCGACTGTTAATCTGCTACACAAGAGCAATGTTCGCATTCTGCTCACTAGTTAGGTCAATCAGCCACAAAAGCGTGAACTTAGATCTGGGATATAAATCTGAACTCAATAACTCGTGACCCTGTATTTGTATGCAAGCAAAATACAAGAAACGATGGTCAATGTGTCCCTTCTGATAATTAATCTAGAAACCGTGGGAATTCGGATGAAGGCAGCTTTACATCTGCATGAGAACCCGCATAGCAATGCACATTACGAACACTTACCTTTACAACCACTGCATGATATAAAGAACTGAATTAGTTCCAGCATAGCAGGTTCTCGGTTTGTCTTATACTGCTCGATCCAATCATCTACTACCGTTTGCGGAGCTACTCTTCCTGACCGTATTGCCCATAAAGGGTATGCTCATCTTCATCAAGTATATTTCCAGCACCTTTGATACAAAAAGAAAAGATAACATTTTAAAGTGGAAACTGCTTTGGAATTTTCGTATCTTTCTCTACATATGAGACGATAGAAGTAACACACAGAACTATATTCGAGTAAAAATTCCGGTAAGATTAGTTGACAGTGTTTATTCCAGGAGTTTACTCGCAGTCTTCAGTGACAAAAAGGTTGCTTTAAGCAATTGCCCAAAACAACATATTTTTGAAGACAAGCCGAAAACCCCATCGTTGATTAAATTTCAAAGAAAAGCAGGAGATAACGAGGGCGGCTGACTGAGAAAACTGAAAAAAGCACTATGTACTAATGTTTTCTTATACGCCTGTGATATTTAAGCGCTAAGTTCAAGAATTTTCAAAATAAGGACGATACTGCAGAAGTAAAATGTCTACGACAAATAGTGACTTACCAACGTCAAAGGTTGGATGGATTGGGGGTCGACCGCGTCGCTTCCTGACTGGTGGTTCATAAGGAACCGAGGGTGCTTGGAAGGCAGTGGAGTGATGGGAATGCTGATCACTAGAATGGTGAATCTCATTATCCCCGGAGGAATTATTGTTCAACTGCATGGGTAAATGGTGTCCTGGGTACTGTGAATTAGACAATTCTGTCGTTGTGTGAACAGTTGCTTGTGGATTACACACTTGCGATGGGTCTCCATGATATGAATACACAGGTTGCTGCAAATGAGATGCGTTTGTAAGAGCATGCGATTGATCTTGCATGTGGTAAGTAGGCGTATTATAACTATCCTTTGAAACAGATGGAGAGTGATGTGATCCACGATCAATGGCAGGTGAATATCGTGCATTGGAAGTGACAGCGAGATCGTTAGACTGTAAAGAATGAGGGATTTGCTGGTGGGCAGGTATCTGGAGATGCATTTGATTCACCTGATTGTGAGGGCTTGCATCATGATTAGAAAGTGGCTTCGTCAACAGTTCACTGCTATCGTAAACTTCAAGACAGAAGAAAATGTTAGGAAAAACTCACAAAATAAAACAGAAGCAAAACAGTTAACTCAGTTCATCCGCATAAGAATCACCACATTGAATCCTTTGATTTCTTCCACCATAATATAAGGGTAGAGGTTGAGTACGGGGTCGTAAATCTACTCTCGGTCACTAAAATAAACAAACATGTTTCCCAGCGGCCATACAAAAGACAAAACCCACTTGGAAGATAAACCGTCAAGCCTGACACCAAAATGCGCATCAGTTGAAATCGCTTTACCCACGAGTATGGATGAACAAAGTATGTATATATGAACTGGTAAATATGAAAGGGTTGCGAAGTGACTGAACCTGCTATCTGAATGATAGCCTGCCCAGACTTCCAGCTGTGAACCGAGCAAAAGTTGGACAAGAAAGTGAAACGTCTTCATAATGCAACATTAAAACTTAGTACATTCATTTGTAGCGCCACACACTTCCCCAAAATCAATAGCCTGGGGTTCAACGACACTCAACATTGATGCTGACCCTGATAATTTAACTTGACTCGCTAAGCTGAAGGCATCCAGTCAAGCTTCCTCGCCATTTGGCACGCTGTCGTGTTACGCTGCACTGCTCGTACTCGACTCTCTAGCCAGTTAGTTGGAACGCATCGGTATCTTGGCACAACCACCCAAATATACTATTCCATCCGAATACACTATCGTGTTCTTCCTTGGTCTCGTATTCGTGGGTATATAACCAGTCTGAATAATTGGTGATTGGTCTTTGCGTCCGTCAAGTTCACACCAGGACAATTCCTAAAAAATCACTAGTAGTCTGACTAGTATGGACCTATTAATTTAAGCTATAAAGCTACTAAAAATCGACAGAATCTCAGATTACATTGCACATAAAATGACCAAGATCTGCAATATTTCACTACTTCATGACCAGGCACGATATGCATTGCAGTCATCAACGTTGCTGAAGGTTTACAATTTCACGAACTGATCATTTTACCCACGGCTCTACACAGTAACCAATTGCTAAAATATGAGTTTCACAACACACGAGACCAACTCAAACTCTGCTCAAGCCCACATAAGTTTGGAGACTGTAATGACTGATACATATTTCTTATTTACTGTCTGTAAAAGACAACGCATGTGATCAAAGCTTTCTTATGGAGACGATTATCTGGTCACCTATGTCTCTTCTCCTCTTAGCTATGCCTCGGTTCCACTACCGCTACATTACGCAGTGTGGCACGTATCGGCGTCAATAAAAAAACGAACCATGGTTCCAAACAGTTCCTGAAATCTAGTCACTCTTCCTATTATTACTTTTCATCTACAATGTGATGCGGCGACCACGCCTGGCTCCGTGAGATAGACAAAGACCCATACCTATCGTTAGGCTAACTGGTTGTTCAAGCCTCGGTGGATGAAACGGGACATCAGTAACAAACACTGTAACTCAACCCGGCACATGTTTACATCCCGGGGCACGAGTCACACTCGTTGTGTGTAGGCTCATGATACTACATGATCGAAGCAGGTTGGATGGAGCATGAACCTGTAACCTACCAGCTGAAATCCAAATATATAGACAAAACTCAAGTTTCATCTAAGCTAAAGTAAACCCCCAACTCTTGTAGGAATTGAGTAGGTCAAAAGTAGCCTGAATCCATGAAGGGCCAGATGGGCTAGTGTCAGAAGGAACTAAGGACGGTGGTCGTGAACTATCGGTCTGGTCAACTGAAGTGTTAGCTAGCCTATGAGAAACAGATATGAACACCTCAAACTGGTCTCAATCGCTGATTCTCCTGGTCTTCAATAAAGGAGAAGTATCCTCTTGTGATAACTACAAGAGAATGAGCCTGATGAACAATGAGTTTAAGATTCTACGTTCTGTGAGTATTCGACGATTCAGAGAAGCTAGGAAACAGCAAACTCGAATGGACCGGGGAGGTTTCAAACCTGGCCGTGGGTGTACTAACCACGTATTCACCTTCCACTGGGTTCTGGAACACGGGTACACCCACTGATACCAGACACTTGATGTATTTTTCGACCCGCAGGCGGCATTTAAGTCTGTCGATCGAGAGGCTCTACGGTTGTATCTCTCACTAAGGCGGGTGCCGATAAGTACGTCACTCTGTTGAAGCTTTTGCAATGGACCACGTGTGAGCAAACTAGAATCAGTGATGAGGTTTTTACTGGGTAGTGTCCATCAGCGATGTTCACCTTTTTCATTCTTATTCAAGTTTGTCCTAGATGGACTTTTGGAGGTCACCCTCTTGCCGTCTGACTTCAGAAGGGTTGATTTTGTCACAGAAGAATCCTTGGTAGATCTACAGCACGCAGGTGACATGGTCCTGTAATATGAAGACCCCGACAAAATATCGAGTCTTCTGGACACTTTGAGTGGCAATGTGAGAATATTCAGGTACGTTTCTACTCACTCAAATGCAAATCACCGTCCACTGGTGCCCTGACTAACAGAGGTGAGTGGAGTGGCCGAGTGCGGTGACCACTTCATTGATCTCGGAAGTTAGACCGGACCTGATGGGTCAGTGACTGGCAAAATCTCTGCAAGGATACAAAAGGCTCAACTGGCATTTGTGACACCACCGTAATACTCCACTACCTATTTAATTTCGAGTGCACTACGCTGCAGTCCACTGTTTTGCCATACGACTGGTAAACATCGCCACTAGTGGTAGACAGGAGAAGGCTTCAGATGTTCAACTACTGTAAGAAATGACGACTGAGACCCAGGAAGGCATATTTATTATGGCATTTTGTCCACCTTTTCATCTCTCATCTCAGTGCATTCTGGCTTGAAGTGCTGACATGAGGTGTGTCAACTCCTGTCGTTAAGCAGCATTACAAGGTTTCACGTTGGCGCTTCCTGACTAGTAACTAGGTGTTACAACCAGCCCTCGAACAATAGACACAATCTATTGCCTAATATACAAAACTACACATGGGTGCTTAGTCATTTCAATTTGTCTTTATCGGTACATATTTAGATTTTGGTTTTAATCACTTTTTGTACAATTTTTGATGTCATATTTCATTGTATGTTATTTGTTGCCATATCTGAACTTTCCAATTTGGTTTTGCAACCTAGGTTATTTCTGAAACTGCGTGTAAATCCTATTGTTAGAATTGTGAACCTGGTTTACTTACGTTGGGAAGGAGTGCCGAAACCAATAGCTGATGGCACACGTTGACACTAGCTAAGCGTTAGTCGTACGGTCACAGACAAAGACGTTACTCTGTGCAGTTTCGCACACTCCTAGTAGTATACAAAACTCTATCAATCATAACCTATCGTTCTTAAATCTGCTTCCTCTTTCACATTCACCTTCTGATACCAATGTCAAGCAGCTTACACCTTCCCGTCTCGCTCTGGAACCACTGTCAACGATCATAGACATTGGGACCTCATTCCTAGTCTCCTAAGACCCCACCATCGATTCCATATAGGAGCTTTCAACACCCGAACTCAATGCCAAATTTAAAAGCAAGCATCACTCGCAAAAACTCTAGAATCTCTAACAATGGGTGTATGCTGTCTCTAACACACGTATACGCGACCCAAGTGTGTATATTCTCTTGATATCATCTAATCGAAAATTCACTTGACGAGTATCCGTAAAACTAATGGCTAGCTCTCGTGGAATCGCTGGTGCAGGCACGGAATTGAGCTGTATGGCAGAAAGTGCGCTTCTCGACTGGATACTAGTCAACAACAGTTCGTCTACTGTTTGACTGACACCAAATCAACGATGGACACAGGTATTTCACATTCCTATAAGCCGTCGTCACAGAGGACTGGTGGAGGATTGCCACTTTCCGGAGAACCAGTATGCACCCCCAACCGCGTGCTATTCGCGTAAGTCTGAACCTTACTGGTCTCAAAAAACAGGAGACAGTAACGCCTGTTTATGCTGGATTGGAAAGTGAGGACGCCAGGTACATATTTAGGGAGGAGATAGTTTATCGGAATATGACAGCAATGCTCATCCTGAAGAAATGTGGTGTGATACCAAGTCCACTATAGAAGCAGCGGTGAAGACAACTATTTAGGATACCGACAAAACGATGGTGAATGAAACCACCACCGAAAAGGATGGAACGCCGGTAACCTCACACAACAGGCGGCTAGAACGTTGGGTAGAACACTTCGAAGCACAGTTTAACTGACCCCCACTATCTAGCCTGCATCTAAGTGGTACGTAAATATCAGTTCTCCAACACTCCCCGTAGTTGAGAAAGCTATACCGAACCGTCAGTGATGTGAAGCAGAAAGAAGTGATAGCTTGTCATCTGAAGTTTTCAAGGATGGAGGTACGTAGCCGATAGTTGGTGACGAAAGTACTAGGTAGCGCATGGGAATCAGGGGTAGTACCGTCAAATTGGTGTACTTTTCTGACAACTATAGGGGAATTAGCTTAACTGTCCAAGATCCTAGGGTCCACAGTAATCCGATGCCAAACAAACCCGAGACGACGAGGTAGGCTCCAAACCTGGACGAGGGCGCATAGATCATGTTTTATGCCCACCGATAGGTTCTGGAACAGAGACACATAGCGGGCAACGACCAACACTTGCCATATATGCTGACCTGAAGACGGCGTTTGACTTAGCCATGAGGTATTGTGGTAGTCTGACTTTGAAAGGAGTACCCATAAAGTATATAATGCTTATTGAAGCTCTACTCGAATTCATGCAGTTGTGCAAAGGCTTATGGAGAATTGTTATCAGAATAGACTAGGTGCCCAACAGCGAATGCTTACTGTCACCGTTGCAATGCAACTTCGTTATCGACACACTAGTGGGAATAACCTAGACGTCTGACTTCACAGAGATTCACCTACTGCCTCAAGGGAATATGGTTGATTTGGAGTATGCAGACGATATTTTCCTGCTACGTGAAGACGCTGACAAAATGTAGGGTCTTCTAAATGCGTCGAGTAGAAATCTGAGTTTGTTAGGCCTGTGCTACGTACGTCAAGCTTAAGACGATGCTTCAGCAGGACTGGTTTATAACTGCTTCACGGGAGTGACATGGCGGAATATGTGGACACCACCAACAGCCCGAACGGCCGGGTTGCTGACGAAATCTTGGCTCAGATGTAGAAGACCCGTTCGGCATTTGCCAACTTGTGTTATTTGTGGAACACTGGTGAGATATCTGACTCTGTCAAAGGGCAGGCAGTGCGCTGCACTTAGTTTAATCCTTTTGTGCGGCTGCGACATGACCGTTGTAAAAGAAAAAAAGCAGTTGCACGGTTTTAATGATAGGTGTCTTTGTGGTTTTGCTCACATATGGTGGAAACACCGTGTGAGCAATGTTGGGGTCAGGTGAATAATACTAGGCGGTAGAGGGAAGCCAACTGAAGTTGTAAACCCCAATCAAGTGAGGTATCTCGTACTCGTACTGCGCATGCGAAGCCACCACCTACTTCGAAGTGCCATGTTGTGGGGATTTGGATTAGATTGAAAGTGTTTAGGGTGGCAGACTAAGATGTGGCACCAGTGGATAAAGTCCCTGAGTGTTAGCCTGTTTAGATGTGAGATGTAAACTGCTGGGTTGGAGTTGATGAAAGAAAAAGAATCACTGGTTGGGCACTATCGGTGACACAGCTGACATTCAATCGCAGTGGTGCAAGTGTACTCATGACCCAACACCCAAAGCTTGAATATTTGCACTATCCGTTACCTTTAGATTGTTAATTCTCTCACGCTACTTGGTATCATTCCTCTTATTTAACCTGCCTATGTTCGCAACTGTGAGGTCACTGCAACCGACGCACCTGCTTGCGAGGTTCTACGTTGGTTTTTTCGGTCAGTCACAGAGTACAAGATCATTCGACATTGTTGTACATGAGAGCAAGTGGCTGCTAAGAATGCACCTGTTAGAACGAGTTTGGCCAGGTAACTTGGATGCGTGAATCAATGCTCTGAAAACTAAACAAACTGACAACCTGATGCTGAGTTTGGTAAACTTCCTAGCCTGAATGGTAACACTAGTAGGTTTATTTTCATTGACTAATTATACCATTCATCAGGCATTAACTAAACCAGGGACCTTGCACTTAACTGTTTCACAACATTGACTGTGCTTTAAGAGTATGGATAAGTGAATATCTGCAATGTTGTGTGACTCAAAAGAATACTGAGTGACATGAATTCGAAAACAACTTCGGCACAACACAAACAAGAAATGTTACGCATATAACGAATGACAACAATCAGAAACGTAGAAGGAATCACATTTGTATCCAAGACGGCTTTCATTGCTGTCCTACTGTTGAAAGTGGGGTAAAAATCCCAAAATAACCACCCACTTCTCATTCTATAATATGCCTGATTTCTGCGGGCACGTGGTCACGTGATCCCAAAATACATTAAGAAGGTGGTGTGTCAGTACCAATTCACTGAATACACGCAGGCCCTGACGTATTCGCATATGTTGAGTGGTTTATATTAACTAGCTGTCCAAACCCTTCGCCCAGCGGTACAAATTTGTCATTGTGGCAATGAACCACAGCTCTTCACCAGAACCATCTGATGACGTCGAGCCACACATTAGGCTAGTCTAATAGCCAGGAAAAAAAAGATCAGTGTTTAGGTCACTCAAATGGATATGCCCGAGTCAACGAAGACAAAGATGAAAGAGTTGATTTCGGACACGGACGATTGGTTTTAAAATGACTCCATACACCTCTGAAAGTGTTACCCATGTTTGCAATCAACCCATGAGATTTGTTGTAGGTTTTGAAATGGTAACAGCAAGTGGAAACTTGCCTTAAGTATCGTTTGGTTTATATCGCTACGTGAATCCCACATAGCACAAATCAACAACTTCAAGTCACAAGGTTAAATTACTGGGCAAAAACGGTGATCGCCTTGCATATATTATGAAATATAAGATAAAACATGAAAAGTTTATAGGTTACGCATACTGCTGACCAAAGAGCAAGTTGAACATTCTCGCAACCAATTAAACATAAGCCAAGAAACTCAAGGCACATATACACACAACCACGGATAAAGATTTTTGACAGTATAATTGTCTGAATGGACAGCTGGGACATGTGCAATCAACAGTGTCCTACTAGGAGAACTGAAATGCATGTACAAATTTGCAACGATGGTACCAGCCAAGATCACGAAATCTGATGTTTCATTAAGAAGTCAAAATCATTCAAGTTCAGTTTCGCTAACCGAATACTGCGTACGTTTTAGGACAATATGCTCTATGGTGGTGCGGTCGAGGCATAAACTCCACCGAATGCAGTCCCTCAAGTTATGACTTCTGTTTCAGGCAATCAGAACGTTTCAGATGAAAACAGCGCAACTTGGATGGCATCACAGTCCAAAATGTTGTTGCTCACCTCAACTACTTCGCTACTCAGTAATCCTTTCTCGAATTCTTGGAAGCCAATGTCGTCAAATTAGGTTTTAGTTAAATTTGCCCATGATATGAGATCTCAAGTAATCCTAAACACTTGAGATGTTGTCGTAGACCTACTACTAAGTGAGACAGACGTTACCCAGAAACAATTTTTCTGCCACGTAATGAAACGGAAAGTGCTCTCTAATGAACTGACTTACATGAGGAACATGAAGGCTAACACACTCCATAGCAGTCAGCTGTTAGCAAGTTCCAGGATAAGTGCGATCGATCAAGATAAACAGATACAGGTATAGTAAATGCACTATCAGTAGAACTTGGAACGTATTTTAAATAACGAAACTCACTCTTACACCACTAGTAAAAAACCATCTAGACAACAAAACAAGGTGCTGTTTTAAGTCCTGAAGAGAGGTTTAAATCATACGTATTATCATCTGACTAATAATTCTATCAGTAATGTCGTGAGATACATTTAACTGCACTTGAAAATCATACCTTGAGTGACGAAAGAAGTCGACCGATGATGTTGGATTTGTTGCTGCATCAACATCTGCTGGACTGATGAGGAAGAATTGGCATATGGGTCATGAACATGACCAAAATGATGTGGCTGTGACGGAATACTGAACTGACTTGGCAAACGGGCACTCGGACCCTCGAGTTGTATATGCCCAGGATTAGGATGAGAAGACAGTGAAGCACCAGAAACATGAGGATGATGGGCATGATACTAAAAACGTATAGATAAACGTAAGTAACGTAAATGTGGTTGGTATTTGGGAGTCGTTGGTGAATATGCATAATTGTTAACACTGACTCCTACAAGAGGCTAACACATTCACTATATGGTATGACCGGACAACGAGCACTAGCACATTTAAAATACCATTAAAACAGTAGTTGTCATCTTATAGTAAGGATGAAAAACTACCGATCATACACCAACCAACCTGATCCATTTGAAGCTTCACATCCATGGACGCAGCCATATTGTTTGACTTCATCGCACCCTGGTGAATTAGCAGTTTAAACAATAAAAAAATTTACTGTCATACTTTGAATTGTATTTGTCTTCAGTTTATTTTATGGGGATAGAAGTGAAATTTTACGTGCATTTCTCTATTCATCACTTCGTAAAACATGTTTCCTGACTTTTTATATTTAAATACTTATGGTATAGGTATTGTGAACTTATAACTCCGTGGATTCCATTTTTATGACACTGAATTTAAAACTGTATTGGGAAAATTTTGTTCGATCGTTTTCACAGAGGTTTTGAGGAGTGATTGCTGTTACTGTTGCCGGTCGCTGAGATATTCATGTGAACTACGTATGATTTATGTTCCAAACTGAGTGTCGTTTGCATCACGCAGCTGAACAGTTTTTTGCACAACAATTACTCTTCTTAGTTACTACAACCTTCATGCTTCACTGGATCACGTATGCAAGCCTCAGATTGACGTTTTGTCCCAGGCATTTAGACCAAAATTTCTCTTTTAGTCCAGTTATTATCCCTATCTTCATAATCGATCAGACCACATCGTGATTATCAGTGGGGTGAACTTATTCCGATATGGCTATATATTGTAGAAACCTTGCTTCTACAAACGGAGAATGGGTTAAGCAGAAAGTATCTTCTCTAGTTAGACATAAAGGTATCGTTTTAGTTCGGAATACGCTTGTTTCAATACAAGTAATTACTCTAGCCTACTGGGGATCGCTGAGTAGCACATTCTCGAAGTTTTGACAGATGTAAAATACACATGCCTTCAATCTAAAATTCAGTAGTACTACGTCCCTACATATCTTCTATATCAACATGGTAGGCCTATACGATCGACATAGCATGCACAAATCTCATACTGGGTATCAACGCGAAAGTTAAAGTAGTCAACTTCCATCAAGACCATTCAGTGGCAAGAATCCAGAATGCTGCGTACATTACAGTGTCTGCCTAGACATTCGATTGCTTAGACTTCTGTCATATTTGTTAGGACTGCATGGCCCAAATAAACCGCTCTACTGACAGATATTGGTGGAAGTCACTTAGCTAGTTATTCAGGTGAGCTTGTGGGGGTTAAAAAACTCCTTGGAACTACAATGGCAGGTGGTTTTCTTCCCAAAGCACTTAACAAAGACACTACCCAACAGATAACGTTCAGGTGAAAAGTAATCAAAATGCACTTAGAAAGGCATGTTAAACATTATTCGGTCGAACAAGATCCTCTTAAACGAACATTAACTTGTAGCCGATCTCCCGCTAGCAGCAATTTATAGTACTACCACCATCTACTAGTGGAACCCGAATGTGGTTAGCAGTCATTAACGCCATGAATCCAGCAATTCGTTTTCCAACCTACCAGCAGTTGTACTCACTCTGAAAACAACGATAAACACAAACCTTTCTCGTTTTGTATATTAGGCAATAGATTGTGTCTATTGTTCGAGGGCTGGTTGTAACACCTAGTTACTAGTCAGGAAGCGCCAACGTGAAACCTTGTAATGCTGCTTAACGACAGGAGTTGACACACCTCATGTCAGCACTTCAAGCCAGAATGCACTGAGATGAGAGATGAAAAGGTGGACAAAATGCCATAATAAATATGCCTTCCTGGGTCTCAGTCGTCATTTCTTACAGTAGTTGAACATCTGAAGCCTTCTCCTGTCTACCACTAGTGGCGATGTTTACCAGTCGTATGGCAAAACAGTGGACTGCAGCGTAGTGCACTCGAAATTAAATAGGTAGTGGAGTATTACGGTGGTGTCACAAATGCCAGTTGAGCCTTTTGTATCCTTGCAGAGATTTTGCCAGTCACTGACCCATCAGGTCCGGTCTAACTTCCGAGATCAATGAAGTGGTCACCGCACTCGGCCACTCCACTCACCTCTGTTAGTCAGGGCACCAGTGGACGGTGATTTGCATTTGAGTGAGTAGAAACGTACCTGAATATTCTCACATTGCCACTCAAAGTGTCCAGAAGACTCGATATTTTGTCGGGGTCTTCATATTACAGGACCATGTCACCTGCGTGCTGTAGATCTACCAAGGATTCTTCTGTGACAAAATCAACCCTTCTGAAGTCAGACGGCAAGAGGGTGACCTCCAAAAGTACATCTAGGACAAACTTGAATAAGAATGAAAAAGGTGAACATCGCTGATGGACACTACCCAGTAAAAACCTCATCACTGATTCTAGTTTGCTCACACGTGGTCCATTGCAAAAGCTTCAACAGAGTGACGTACTTATCGGCACCCGCCTTAGTGAGAGATACAACCGTAGAGCCTCTCGATCGACAGACTTAAATGCCGCCTGCGGGTCGAAAAATACATCAAGTGTCTGGTATCAGTGGGTGTACCCGTGTTCCAGAACCCAGTGGAAGGTGAATACGTGGTTAGTACACCCACGGCCAGGTTTGAAACCTCCCCGGTCCATTCGAGTTTGCTGTTTCCTAGCTTCTCTGAATCGTCGAATACTCACAGAACGTAGAATCTTAAACTCATTGTTCATCAGGCTCATTCTCTTGTAGCTATCACAAGAGGATACTTCTCCTTTATTGAAGACCAGGAGAATCAGCGATTGAGACCAGTTTGAGGTGTTCATATCTGTTTCTCATAGGCTAGCTAACACTTCAGTTGACCAGACCGATAGTTCACGACCACCGTCCTTAGTTCCTTCTGACACTAGCCCATCTGGCCCTTCATGGATTCAGGCTACTTTTGACCTACTCAATTCCTACAAGAGTTGGGGGTTTACTTTAGCTTAGATGAAACTTGAGTTTTTGTCTATATATTTGGATTTCAGCTGGTAGGTTACAGGTTCATGCTCCATCCAACCTGCTTCGATCATGTAGTATCATGAGCCTACACACAACGAGTGTGACTCGTGCCCCGGGATGTAAACATGTGCCGGGTTGAGTTACAGTGTTTGTTACTGATGTCCCGTTTCATCCACCGAGGCTTGAACAACCAGTTAGCCTAACGATAGGTATGGGTCTTTGTCTATCTCACGGAGCCAGGCGTGGTCGCCGCATCACATTGTAGATGAAAAGTAATAATAGGAAGAGTGACTAGATTTCAGGAACTGTTTGGAACCATGGTTCGTTTTTTTATTGACGCCGATACGTGCCACACTGCGTAATGTAGCGGTAGTGGAACCGAGGCATAGCTAAGAGGAGAAGAGACATAGGTGACCAGATAATCGTCTCCATAAGAAAGCTTTGATCACATGCGTTGTCTTTTACAGACAGTAAATAAGAAATATGTATCAGTCATTACAGTCTCCAAACTTATGTGGGCTTGAGCAGAGTTTGAGTTGGTCTCGTGTGTTGTGAAACTCATATTTTAGCAATTGGTTACTGTGTAGAGCCGTGGGTAAAATGATCAGTTCGTGAAATTGTAAACCTTCAGCAACGTTGATGACTGCAATGCATATCGTGCCTGGTCATGAAGTAGTGAAATATTGCAGATCTTGGTCATTTTATGTGCAATGTAATCTGAGATTCTGTCGATTTTTAGTAGCTTTATAGCTTAAATTAATAGGTCCATACTAGTCAGACTACTAGTGATTTTTTAGGAATTGTCCTGGTGTGAACTTGACGGACGCAAAGACCAATCACCAATTATTCAGACTGGTTATATACCCACGAATACGAGACCAAGGAAGAACACGATAGTGTATTCGGATGGAATAGTATATTTGGGTGGTTGTGCCAAGATACCGATGCGTTCCAACTAACTGGCTAGAGAGTCGAGTACGAGCAGTGCAGCGTAACACGACAGCGTGCCAAATGGCGAGGAAGCTTGACTGGATGCCTTCAGCTTAGCGAGTCAAGTTAAATTATCAGGGTCAGCATCAATGTTGAGTGTCGTTGAACCCCAGGCTATTGATTTTGGGGAAGTGTGTGGCGCTACAAATGAATGTACTAAGTTTTAATGTTGCATTATGAAGACGTTTCACTTTCTTGTCCAACTTTTGCTCGGTTCACAGCTGGAAGTCTGGGCAGGCTATCATTCAGATAGCAGGTTCAGTCACTTCGCAACCCTTTCATATTTACCAGTTCATATATACATACTTTGTTCATCCATACTCGTGGGTAAAGCGATTTCAACTGATGCGCATTTTGGTGTCAGGCTTGACGGTTTATCTTCCAAGTGGGTTTTGTCTTTTGTATGGCCGCTGGGAAACATGTTTGTTTATTTTAGTGACCGAGAGTAGATTTACGACCCCGTACTCAACCTCTACCCTTATATTATGGTGGAAGAAATCAAAGGATTCAATGTGGTGATTCTTATGCGGATGAACTGAGTTAACTGTTTTGCTTCTGTTTTATTTTGTGAGTTTTTCCTAACATTTTCTTCTGTCTTGAAGTTTACGATAGCAGTGAACTGTTGACGAAGCCACTTTCTAATCATGATGCAAGCCCTCACAATCAGGTGAATCAAATGCATCTCCAGATACCTGCCCACCAGCAAATCCCTCATTCTTTACAGTCTAACGATCTCGCTGTCACTTCCAATGCACGATATTCACCTGCCATTGATCGTGGATCACATCACTCTCCATCTGTTTCAAAGGATAGTTATAATACGCCTACTTACCACATGCAAGATCAATCGCATGCTCTTACAAACGCATCTCATTTGCAGCAACCTGTGTATTCATATCATGGAGACCCATCGCAAGTGTGTAATCCACAAGCAACTGTTCACACAACGACAGAATTGTCTAATTCACAGTACCCAGGACACCATTTACCCATGCAGTTGAACAATAATTCCTCCGGGGATAATGAGATTCACCATTCTAGTGATCAGCATTCCCATCACTCCACTGCCTTCCAAGCACCCTCGGTTCCTTATGAACCACCAGTCAGGAAGCGACGCGGTCGACCCCCAATCCATCCAACCTTTGACGTTGGTAAGTCACTATTTGTCGTAGACATTTTACTTCTGCAGTATCGTCCTTATTTTGAAAATTCTTGAACTTAGCGCTTAAATATCACAGGCGTATAAGAAAACATTAGTACATAGTGCTTTTTTCAGTTTTCTCAGTCAGCCGCCCTCGTTATCTCCTGCTTTTCTTTGAAATTTAATCAACGATGGGGTTTTCGGCTTGTCTTCAAAAATATGTTGTTTTGGGCAATTGCTTAAAGCAACCTTTTTGTCACTGAAGACTGCGAGTAAACTCCTGGAATAAACACTGTCAACTAATCTTACCGGAATTTTTACTCGAATATAGTTCTGTGTGTTACTTCTATCGTCTCATATGTAGAGAAAGATACGAAAATTCCAAAGCAGTTTCCACTTTAAAATGTTATCTTTTCTTTTTGTATCAAAGGTGCTGGAAATATACTTGATGAAGATGAGCATACCCTTTATGGGGCAATACGGTCAGGAAGAGTAGCTCCGCAAACGGTAGTAGATGATTGGATCGAGCAGTATAAGACAAACCGAGAACCTGCTATTATTATTATCGGTCCCTCGGTTTCCTAAAGCAGCATAGGGCTTCACTAGCACGTCTCCAGTGATCTCTGTTCTCTGAGATCCTTTGAACCTGGTTCCACGACAGCTCAGAATCTCTCATTTCCTCCTCGAACGATCTTCCCCATGTCACCCTCACCTCGGACGCCCAACTCGTCGCTTCCCATGGGGGTTCCACCCAAGGGCCTGACGCGTAACTCCCCCAGTCGGCCTTCTCAGTGTATGCCCAATCCATCTCCACCTCCTTCCAGTGCATATTTGTTGAGTGATAGGTTATTGGTTGGTTCGTTCCCAGAGCTCCCAGAGCTTATTCTTTCTGGCCATCTGATCTTCAGTAGCGAGCGTAGGCAGTTGTTGATGAATGTCTGTAGTTTATTGGAAATCCTTTTCGTAACGCGCCAAGTCTCTGAACCATACAGAAGCACTGAGTTGACGTTGTTGAAAATCCGGATCTTGTTCCACATGCTGAGTGCAGAAGATCTCCACACTGGTTTCAGACTAATGAACGCCTGTCTTGCTTTTGCGGTCCTGACTGGTTTTGACATCCCGTCTGTGCCGCTACCTGTAGTTGAAACAGTGCTACCAGATAGGTGGAGGAGGTTACTTCCTTTAAGTTTCTCCCGTTAATGGTGATTGGAGTTTGCTGTTGTTGTTGTTGGTGCGGTATCCTCATCACCTCTGTCTTCCCTATATTCACTTGAAGTCCCGTCTTTGCTGCCCTGCCTCTTCTGTCAACTTGTTAGTTTTCGCCCGCAGATCGTCAAGCTTGTGTGACATCAGGCACAAGTCATCGGCGAAATCTAAATCTTCCAGGTCCTTTTCCGCAGTCCAGCCAGCGTATCCCCCTCTTCTCACAGCTCCCACTGTTTGTTGCATGATCCAGTCGACTACAATCAGGAATATTATGGGGATAGTAGGCAACCTTGTTTCACTCCTGTCTTCACTTCAAAAGCATCACTGAGCTTCCCATTGTGAATTACTTGGCATGTGGCATCTTCATATAGTTGTTGAATGAGGCTGATAAAGTTTTGCGGTATTCCGTAGTGTTGAAGCAGTTTCCAACCTACCTCTCGGCCGACGCTGTCAAAGGCCCTCTCAAAGTCGATAAAGCTGAGTTGTAGAGTTGATTGCCATTCTATGCTCTGTTCTATGATGATGCGAAGCGTTGCAATTCGGTCCGCACATGATTTTTACTCCCTGAATCCAGCCAGCTGGCCTGGTCCGGTCGTAGTTTTGAATCTAGCGCATCCTTTAGCCTCTCCAGGATGATGCGGCCTAATATTTTGCTTGCTGTGGGTGAACAGGAGAGTGATTCCGTGCCAGTTCTTGCAAACACTGAGGTCTCCCTTCTTCGGTAGTTTGACAAGGTGACCCTTCTTCCAATCTGTAGGCACCTTCTCTTCTCTCCACACCTTCTGCAATAGTGGTGTGGTGTGAGCATGTCCGCTGATGTCTCTGCATCTGCTCTCAGTGCTTGTGGCGGGATTCCATGTGGTCCTGCTGCTTTCCCGCATTTCAGTAGCTTTATGGCGTTCAGGACTTCCACTTTTGTTGGAGTGCTTATGTTCGCCGATAGTTCTCTGGCCTCAGGTGGTATTTTGGACGAAATGCAGGTGGTGGTGGTTGTCAGTTCAAGAGCTTCCTGAAGTGGTTAGCTCATCATTTCCTTTGTTTTTCCTTTTTAGTGACTAGATTTCCTTCATCATCTTTTATTGGTTTCACCTCCCTGCGACCCGTTCTGCTCCACTTGTCAGTATCTCGTAGAAGTGTCTTTTTTCTTTGCATGCACTCTTCTTCACTTCTTTGTCCAGTGTTTCATACATTGTACTCACTTCCTCTTCTCGTCGTTCATCCTTGCACTGGTTTATCTTCTGCTTCATCATCCTCCTCTCCCTGCTCTATCAGGTTCCATGTATCCATTGAGATCCATTCCCCATCTTCTTTCTTCTTCATTCCCAATACGGCTGTGCAGGTTTTTCGCACATCCCTTTCAAAGAGTCCCAGTGTTCTTCCACACAAGTTTCTTCAGGGATGTTACTCGATATCTCCCATTTCGTCTTGATGGCTGCCGTGAAGATTTCCTTTGTAGTTTCATCCCCCAGTTTCCGAGTGTTGTACTTGAACTGCGGTCTATCACCAGCTTCCTTGAAGGCTTTTATTTTGATTTAGAAGTTTCCTTGCACTAGATAGTGAGTGGTGTGAACCTGCATCTGCTCCTCTTCTTGACCTTGTGTCAAGTAGACTGCGTCTCAATTTTCTTGAGATTGAGATAAGGTCGATTTGATTTTTAGTGTTTCCTCGTGTCTGGTGAAATCCATGTCACTTTGTGAATATCCTTGTGCCTGAACACAGTACCTCCAATCACCAAATCCTTGAATGCACAGAATTCTGCAAACAATTCTCCATCTTCGTTCGTTTCACCCAGCGCTTCTCGACCCGTGGTTAGTTCTCTTCCCGTGTTGTCTGCTCCCAGTTTGGCATTCATGTCACTCCACCCATTGGAATTTTGATGTCGCCATCGCCAACTGAGGTGGGGTCTTATCCAGTACTGATTGCAGTTGTCTGTAGAATTCCTCTTTCTCTTGACCTGATTTATTTGTAGGTGCATAGCGTAGCATTGTATGATTGTGACCTTCCTTCCTTCCTTCTGAGTTGAACCTTTCTGTCGTGATCCTGCAGGAGGAGGTTGGTTCCCACTGCATGGGAGCCTTCGATGCTGTTGGGGACATCATGATAGCCACTCCCTCAGTGTGCTCTTGGTTGTCGTCTGGGTGACAATATCGGGGTAGATTATTGATTCTCCAGTTGACAGTTCAGAGAGTCTACTCACATTCCATCTGCTTTCGCAAATTCCAAGCACTTCAATGTGATACTTCTCATCTCTTTTGCAATCTGGGTTGCCTTGCTGGATTCAAACATCGTGAGGACATTCCATGTCCCCACGTTTACTTTCCCTTTCATCGAGGGAGAGAAGACACATCGGCCAATTGGCTTCCCGAAAGCTTTCACCAACTGGCGTCATTTCGCCTCTCCGATTCCACCAAGGTATAATTGTGTTATTATTTTTTATATATATGGTTTGTGCTTTGAAGTTTGTTTAGCGGTTAGATTTGTTTTACGGGGTAGGGTTGCTAGCCCTATGCCCAACCTTCCCTGTTTACCCGGTCTTAGGACCGGCTAGTAACTAGTGAACTAGTTAACCAGGCGAGGTTGTACTCGAAACATGTAATATGAGAATTTTTTGTGGAAGCCATGGAAATTTTGCGGGTGGTTTTATTGGCCCTCCCAATGAAATCCGCGTCTTTTTATGTCCTCCTAATTAGTAGCAATTCTCGGATGTGTGTTAAGCTGCAATGGTTAAACTGCAGTCAGTTGTTTGCAAACGTCAATTGAATCGTTTTAAGTTTTATGATTTATAGTCGTGTGGAACCTTGTGAATCACACCTGAGTGAGGGATTTTATAATTAGAGAAATGTATCGAATAATAAAGAGGAAGCAATGTGTAGGGAAAAGAATCCGGTAGCTCCCGACACTAGGGGATAAACCAACTGGCTCCGCCGGGAAGTTGGTCACGAGGGATTTCTAGAACCCCCTTGTTGCCAAGGGTGTAATAGCCTGAGAACTTCTAAAAGCGAATGGTTTCAGATGCTCCTTCGTAGTGCGTATGTTAGTATGACGATAATGTGAAATAAATTTCCGTCAACTAAGTCACAGTAAACGTAATGTTTACGTCTTCCGGAAATGTTTTGCATGTAAGCCAGGCAGCCATTTGATATTAATATGATGGTTGGTCGAGGTTCCAGGGCCACTAAGCTCGGGAAGTCGCTTTCAAATCATGACACTGTTGTGCACCTTCGTGTCGTGAAATGCAACCAGATTTGACTGAATTAACTGAATATTAAATAAACAACCTTCTACCTCTGCTCTGGATGCCTAAGTTTTGTTTTGACGAGCACACACCCGAGCGGGTTTCGTTGGAATTGTGTGCTCCATCTCTGCTGGTCAACACCCACTTACTAACAAGGTAAGTTCAATAAACGTTTCACTCCTCACAACCACTATCACATTTACTCTACCGAAACACGCTGCTTCCTCGAATACATTCCTGAATGACATTCATTTTGGTCTGTTTTTCTTTATTGATAGTTTCACGTTGGGCAGGGTAGTGATTAAGCAAGTACTAGGGCACATCGAGTTAAGTGGGGATGGTTGAGCGTAACGTAACAGTGGTACAACCAGTCGCCTGCACTGTATCCTTCTGGTGGGCTTTCTTCCTTTGATTTCCGGGCATTTTTAATCCCTGTATTGGCCCGAATCTTGTTTCTATAACATTATGCGCCATGTAAGCTCAAAAAGTGTTAGCAGTGCTGGGACCGTGTTTCAGGGCAAAACATTCCAAGGAAGTTGCCGCCGTCAACACTTTGAGGCCAAGTTAAATTATTTTTGTGGTGCATTCATAGGTCCCGGAGAACAATCGGCGGTTATAAATATGAGATGACAGAGCGACTAGCAGTGTTGCGTCTAGCTTCTCTTTTCACGTTATTTGAGTAGATTGCCGTGGATTATGATGCGACTTGAGGTTGCCGAGCGTATATCTCTGGGGGCTAGTATGCTGAAAGTAGGTGCTCGCTCCGCTGCAAGGGGTTTACGTTTGGACCTCCACGTCAGACACTTACAGTAATGCGTGAATTTGTAAAGAAGGTTTTCAAGCATCTTGCCGGTCCTTCTTGAGTTATCGGCATGCTGTTTTGTGAAGAATGACAAAACTAGATGGTGAGTAGTCAATCTTCTGCTTATAACATGACTCTCAGTGTCGACCCGGGTTTCCCAAATACGAAGGACTTGGGAAAACATGGGGAAAACTGTTATGATGCTCAAGAACTGATGTGCACTTCAAGCAAACACTTGGCTCCTCCATTAGGTAGGCGGCCGCAACAAGGTAACGGTTAAGTTCATTCATCTTCCTACATGTTGTCTTCCTGCACCGTCGGCCCCCAGGTGACGTCGTAGCT